AATTGGACTGGACACTCAGGCATATAAAGGAATTGATGTTTTACTACGTGGCCTCCCAATGTACAGAGTCGACTTTTAAGAACCGGTTTTCCAGCACTTCTTCCAGTTGCTCCTATTACAGTAATAGTTCTTCCAGATGGAGGAGCAACTTGATTAGTCACCACCGAATGTTCAGCACCAGTGTCGATCATAAGCGCACTCCTTTTTCCCCCTATTGATACATCGACCATAGGCTCCGCTCGACCAAGGGGGATGGAGCCCGGTCGGTATCAATAGTCCTCCATGACCGTGTCAGCCAATCCCACAAAGTCCCTACCTTCTCTATCGCGGGACCTTTTCGCTGCTGGATAGTACCTATCTTCCCTTACACTTCCTCTGTTCCCATTACTCCCTCTATTACCATTACTCCCTCCGGGGCCTCCTCTACCTCTCGCTCTGCCTCTAAAGTTTCCGTAACCTGCCCTGGGTAAGTCTCTCTCATGCTGCTCTCTTTGCGGACACTCGTTCCTCCAATGCCCTTCTTCCTTACAGTACGCGCACTGATTCCTACTCAAAGGCTCCCTATTCCATCTACCATCGCCTCTATCTGGGCCCCGTCTATCTACGCCTGCGATAGCTACCGCTAGCATATCTGCCTTTCTACGCATCTTGCGCTCTTCCTCTTTCTTACTTTCTGTTTCCCTATTCATATATACTTTGTTCGCTACCTCCACTAGTTGAGTGATAGACATACCTGCAAACCCTTCTAATTTCTGTAGCTTGCGCTTAATATCTCCGTAAGCTTGGCTGACAAAGGCGGAGTTTACCATTCGGGAATTATCAGCGTCTTCCGGATTAAAGGGGGTATACAAGCGGTATGCCTCCAATATTCGGTCATAAAAGACACTGGGCGCTTCATCACTTTTCTGAATCACCTCAACTGTCTTCGACATGTTAATAGCTTTCTTCCCTCCGGCTTTCATGCCAGCAATTATAGCATCTCTATAGGCTTTAAGTTGAGCCATATCTGCGCCATTTACATTCCAGTCAGGATCGGTGTTGGGGTAATGTGTTGCGGCCCATGCTGCCGGATTGGCTTGATTTAAAGCACGGGCTCTCTCCTCTAGCGCCTTAATGGCCGCTTGGTTAATCCTTGTCCTTTCCTCATTATTGAACAATGTCATTAATAACTGCTGGCAGTCAGCCCATGTCGGGTTATGTGTCTGAACTATCGAGGTGAACAGATCGGTCATAGCTTGTGGTTTCTCAGTGTACGAGGAATTGTGGGTCTTCCAATTTAAGAGATCGGTAGTCGTGAACGGGACATATACGAAGACTGGGTCAGCATGTGCCATTTGACCTGCGGCATCGATATAGACTGACCCAGGATTCAGACGAAGAGGCATCTGATAATGTTTTAATTGTTGGGTACCGGTCAGTTGTCGGGTTAGTATGGGGCTACGTGGAGGGGCGTCAGTTAAAGGTTCCGGTCGAGAGGTAATAGGGCATGAGGATGTGGGAACTTGATTTTGGGAAAATTTAGTGAATAGTATACTCCGAGCCGAGCTAGAAGAAGCTTGACCGGAAGTTTGAAGTGGCGCCAAATCAGGATATTCAAATCTAATGGGGGTTGGTCCTGGTTCCGGAAGGGGAGTTTTAATACGAGGGGGGGTGGATTCTGTACTGGAGTAGGAAGCGGAAGTGGATGGGGGCAATAGGGAAGGGGTGCAGAGCTTCCTGCATTCGCGTCACTTCCTCTTAAAGGAAAGTAAGGAGGCGGCAAAGGGATCTCGGACTCAGGGGGCGTGTCCAAAATGGGCCTAACACCAGTCCTAGTGGACAAACAAGTCCTGGCCACCATGAGGCGACATTGCTCCTCGTGGCATATCCGGATCCATTTTGGCGAGTCGTTTACGGCCTGCCCCAACAATCAATGTATGGAAACTGTCCGTAAAGTTCAGGCCTACCTGATACAGCCACGTGTACACGCTGTACCAGGGTTGGATCCAAACTGCCACGTGGCGGCCATGCCGCAACCAAAATAGGCCACTCCCTAGTGCACAAAGTGACCAAACGTACAGGAGACATTTTAACCCCAAAATCACATGTTTTGAATCCCTTTTTAAAATTCTTTACCATACAACCGAAGGGATCCGAAATCGTTGACTCTGACGCGCCCATACTTATCAATGGAACGTCGTTGACAACGAATACTATGCACGCGTTCTTATTCAACAGTCACACCCGTTTCCTCTGGCAACAGCACCACGTGGTACAGTTACCGAGTGAAACGTACACAATAACAATAATCACTCAGGGAATTCCCGTACACACACAGCTGTTACACCAGTCACTAAACAATCAATATTATGCCCTTTGGCGAAACTATACAGTCACCCACGCTATAATTCTCTATATATGAATTACCCGTCTATAACACACCCCAGTAACATCGTCTTTTACTAGTATCGGTTACAGTACGGTTAGCATAGGTCAAAGCACAATTTAAGGTCACAATACAATTATTAGTGGTTACGGTGTTAAACATGCAATAGACGACAATGATTAGTACTTATATACAGTGTCAGTAAATATACAGGGTTATGGTACCGTGCACTATGATACAGCAACACACTATTAACACTCTCGCTAGACGGCTGAGCTCGCGCTATCTAACAAGATATACACTTTACTAACAATCTTTAACACATTTACAATCCCAACTAAACTATTGGCCAGTACCTTGAATGGACTACCTAAAACTATATACACCCGTTTTGGTTAGCCACACTGCCCAAACACCACATATAGCGAACTAGAGGGCGAAATTTACAAAATTGCCCTTCTAGTCTATTTACTCTATCAAAAGTCTAGTGGGTTCCAAATTTACACGCCTTCCCACTTAGCCAAGATAGGTTGAGAGCTAGCGAACCAAATTTACACAGGCGCCGCTTAGTCTCCCGGTCCCTCCGACCTAGCGAACGTAATATACACCCTAGAACGCTAGTCTAGACAAGACACCGGTGTCCGGCTAGGGCTATTTACACAGGACCCCGCCTGACTAACCAGATCAAGCGGTCTTACTAAAGAGCGTTCGATCGAGCGGTGCGCCTTCGCTCCTTCCCTCCGACAGAGGGGGCAGATTCCATACACAGATTTAAACCCCTTTTGGGCCTACCGCACAATCGGTATACCCCTAGTGGGTCTGCCGTCTAAAACAGCAGTTGTCTTACCTCCTCGTTCCTGAACCTGAGTTCACACTCATCGACGGGGACACCCCAGCACTTCTTACGTAGAGGCCGATGATCTCCTGGACAACAGACCAGTGGCGCCGAGACGAAGGGAGGTCCACGCAGAAGTTCAGGGGTGCAGCCGTAGAGAACGTGGGCAAAGATAGACCGTCTCACGCCTCTGCCTCTCAGCTACCGTTGAACGATGAGCTTCCCGGCCAATGCACCAAATGATACCGGAGAAACTGACGGAAGCAAAGCACAGAGGGATGGACACAGGTTTCTTCAGGAAGGAAGAGATTCTTTATTGGATCACCGATCGGGACTCAGAGGGACTAATGTCACCAAAAATACAGCAAGTTCTGAGCCCTGAACAATAGTGCAGGCTCCCTATATAGGCACATAACTCCTCCCATATTAAGCTCCACCCGCACATTCTCTTGACCAATCATTACAAATAAGAATTAACTTCCTGCTTGACCGCATGGCTTGTCCAGCACAATGGAGGAGGGGAATACTACATCCTGTATTCTTGCACATGCTCCGTACACTACTGATCGTATCTTGCCTCGTGCAACCAACTGATCGATACGTCAGCATATGCACGTACACATGCCACGTGGTAATCTCGGCCTACTAAATTTATTTTTACCGAGATTCCACCACAGTTCAAATATGTAAATGGAGAGTAGTCACCATTGCAGAATACCCATTGGTTTCCACAGTGACTGACCTACTTTTGGTACTTTAGACCACTTTTGAGAATTGAACACATTTTATCCATAGTCCCTGTAGGAGTAATTGGTACCCAATTTAGAATTGGCAGCTCTTTTATTCCTTTTCTGTTTTTTTTCCTAATTACATTTTTATTTCTCGTTAATTGCATAAGATAATGTCAAACGTAGCAGACATTCTGTCAAACAATCAGGAGCTCAAAAAAATAACCATTAGGTAGAATTAAAGGTTTAAAAAGGGAGGATGTCAGTCGAAAGAAACGAGGGAGAGGTAGAGCAAAAAAAAATTACAATTATTTGTTACCCTGTCTAGTTTTTAAGGTGGGGTTCTCAAAGAACTAACACAGGGTCAGTAGGTCTTTTTGTCTGGATTCACATCATATTAGCTCTTTCTTGATTCTCCAATCCTCTGGGAGCTAATTTTGAGATGCGAATCACCCATGGTAACTTGTATAAACTCGAGCGGTTCAGCTTCCTATGGTGCCAAGAGCCATCAGGCGTATTGACTATACCAAGCGTCATAACTTCAGACAGTGCTGTGCAACCTGAGTGTCTGTTGGAACTTGTTCAGGTATCCTACTAAGCCACATTCTTAGCAGCAGCTGGGGTTTTCTCAAAGAACTTAAAGTTGCAGATGAACCTGTGGAAGCATTAATGGGTCGTTTGTGCAGCAGCAGTCATGCCTTGCAGTGTGGTTCTCTTAAAATTAGTTGTGAGGGAGACTAATACCTTCAACTTCAACACATTAGCTGATGCGTGGACAATAAAGAGACCCTTGCTAGCTTAAACATTATTGCAGCCTATCATCAGGCCAAAGGAAAAGTAGGGTTTTATATTAATTGCTTATTTAGATTTTACTTACAAATATGTAAAAATCTGTAAAACGAAGTTCTCTTCCCCTCCCCCATTTCCTGCGCTCTATTTTTTACACTAATGACTCGTCTAAATGTATATTTAGGATCTCCTATATAGAAGATCTCGCTCATTGGTGGACTATGAAAACGCTAATAAATCCCTAGACAAGGGCAGAGCAAAAAAAAACAAAGATGTTTTATCAGCTGAAACCACTCAACAGAAGTTTGAAAAGATATCAGAATCTACAAAACAAGGTATTCTGTAAAACTACAATTATTTATCAATGTTATACTATTTATCATCTGATTTTATTCCAAAAATGTTAGGCATGTAATCATTAGAAATCATGTTATGTCCTGCCTGCCCTGCTCAGTAGAAATTCACTCCTGGTGAGCGAGCCTTGGATCCTCCAGGCAGAGGCGTACCTAGATTTCAGGAAACCCAGGGCCGTAATGTATTTGGGCACTTTCCACTCCCACCCCTTCCCCCCTCCCGCATACCCCAAACCACTTTTTGTTTGTTAAATTAAACACACATATTCATATTTATAAATACCTATTCATATTTACACATACATTCGTACACAAACTTACATACAAACGTACTCATAAACAAACATGTATACACATAAAAACACACACATCCATTCATATACACGCATTAATACAGTTACTCATAATATATATTTCGCTTATTTGCTCTAAGTTAGCGAGGGGAGGGAATGAGGCAGGGAAAATTAAAAGAAAATAAACTCCAGCGTTTAAGGAGGTCTTCAGTGACAGAAGGAGGGAGGGGAGTTGTCCGTTGCTTGTGTGCAGTGTGCGATTACTATGGTCATATTTTTCTCACAGAATTGACATTTGGCAGTTATGAAATAGAGTTCTAGGCTGCCAAAGTTACGTGTGCTGGGGGTGTAAATAGCCCCTGGCACAAAAGTGCAAATATCTCAGTAAGTTCTGTGTTTTAAGCAGAAACGCTGCACATACAAACTCCTGCCACCATGACCACTTCTAAAAGCCTCCAGATAGTTTAGTAGTGATCATATTTTTTTTTTTTTAGATATTTTAATTAAGAGAAGTTTTATTTTTGTATTATTTTTTTTAGCACGTGCATTTATTTTAATTTATTAACTAGCAGGAATTTGTGGGAGTGACTTTTTTTGCATCATTATCTTTTTTAATCTTATTGTATTTTTAGTCACCCCTCCAGCGGTGCATGTTTTGTTTTTATGTACATAAAGACAGCTGCCCAATGGAGGAAGGGTAAGCCACTAAATGCTCTAAAAAACCTATTTACTTATATGTATACGCTCGCCTCCAAGATTTCTCCAGGGCTGCACCTTTTCTGTGGAACTCCCTTCCCTTCTCCGTAAGACTTTCACCCAGTCTCCACTCCTTCAAAATATCTTTGAAAACTCACTTCTTCAGGAAAGCATATTATTTAAACTGTTAGCGGGTTTTCATTCCATGGATTTAAAAAATGTAAAAAGAACTTAGTAGAACTGGTGGAACGCTGCCGTTTTCATAACAAATTCTTTATTAACAAATCTTTGTATGAATGTTGTGTGAATGCCTTTTTGTTTAGACATTTTTCTTCCAAGCTGTGTTTTTGCATTTAGTCCAGACATTGCCGAGCTTAACTGTACTCAGAACACTCCCACAGGGAGTGAAACAAACATCAGTTACCCTGCGATTTCCTTCCCCCCCCTGTATAACATTGTTATTCATCCCTGGGGTTGCAATATTTGGCCAATCTGACTGCTTTCCTCTGCTCTATCGTAATACAAAATGACGCTGCAACATTTTATCCACGATAAAACTGCAGACAGTCTGAGCAACAGACAGACTGCTGCAGTTCATCAATGATGGCATGGCCTATGGGTGCTTAGGAGCGCTATATTTATTGACAAATTACACCAGGGCATGGAGCCGTAAATGCACAGAACCAGAATTACTACAATGAGCTACAGTGGTTATGGTGCTTAGACTGTCTCTATAGTTTACAAAGAGCTGAATAGCTATATTAGTTCATATTCACACATGATCCTTGAGAGAGCAAATAGCACTCAGTCAGGGCTGTCCGCTAAAGTAAGATTTCAAGGTGAATTTGAAATTTAAGGTCAAAGAAGCCGAACTAAACACATAGTTGAGTTAGAGAATATTTATATTTCAGCTTCTTTTACCTTAAAGGGAAACTAAAGGCACCAAAACAACTTTAGCTCAATAAAGCAGTTTGGGTGTATAGATCATTCCCCCTGCAGTCTCACTGCTCAATTCTTTGCCATCTAGGAGTTAAATCACTTTGTTTATACAGCCCTAGGCACACCTCGCTGCACTTTGTGTTCATGTAGACCGTGTCAGTCACAGCCAGGGGAGGTGTGACTTGGGCTACATAAACATGACCAAATGTGATTTAACCCTTTAAGGACAGAGACAATTGTGACATTGAAAAAATGTTAACACAACCTTTAATTTGCGCTAAATAATTCACCTTTCATATTAAGTGCACCCACACTTATTATACATCATTTTGTTCATGAGAAACAGGGCTTTCATTTCACATCAAATATTTAGATATGAAACATAATTTTCTTAGTACTGCGAGGCATTTTAACTGTGAATGTCATAATACTGTTAGCTTTTACTGCAATAAAATGCACATATTTCTGTTTAGCAATGTCTCACAAGTACAACAGTACCCCCCATGTACAGGTTTTATGGTGGTTTGGAACGTTACCAGGGCCGTCTTTAATAACGAATGGACCCTGGGCAAGTGTTTGCTTGGGCCCCCTGTGCCCTGCCGCTCTCGCCCCTCACTCCCTGGTATGCAATCACGGCATCCATCCCAACGCAGTGGCGGTACTAAAGTAGAATGAATTTTATTGGGACCCCCAATTGCAAGGTTGGACTAAAGGTAGAACCCCATCTGTCGTGCAACTCCAACAATGCTTTGACAGCTGGGACTCTACCAATTTCCCATGCTTGCAGGGTTGTATTTAGCACTGAGCCATGTTAGTATGTTTGAATGTAAGCATGTGTTTGTATGGAGTATGTTTGTGTGAATGTGTTTGTATGTGGTACTGGAGTTTGAATGCAAGTGTGCATTTATGTGTAGTGTTTGTTTTTGAATGTAGGAGTGTGCTTGTATGTAGTGTTGACGTTTCAATGCAGGAGTGTGTTTTATATGTAGTGTTGAAGTTTGAATGGAGGGGTATATTTGTATTTAAAGTTGCGGCTCAGATGCACAGGTACACACTCTGACGCACAAGCAGATACACAGATACATACACTGACTACATACAGATAAACAGGCACATACACTGACAGACACACTGACACAGGTACATATATTGACACACACACAGACACATACACTGGTAGACGTACTGACAGACATACTGACACAGGCACATATACAGACATACTGACACACAGACACATATACCGACATACTGACACACACACACAGACACATACACTGATCAACATACTGACACACATACACTGACAGAAATACTGACACCCACACACTGGCACATACACTGACACACACAGACTGATATACTGACACACACACACACACAGACATACTGGCACACAGACAGATATACTGACACATGCATACACATGCACTAACAGACATACTGACACATACACATACTGACACACAGAGATATACACACACATATATACTGACACACAGACAGACAGACATACTGACACACACACAGACATGCTGACACACACACATACACTAACACACACATACACTAACACACACATACACTAACACACTAACACACACATACACACATACAAACAAACACATACACTAACACACAAACACATACACTAACACACAAACACACATTTTTTTTTTTTTTAAATGTAATCCCCCCAGCCTCCTTACCTTTTGGAGTGCTGGGGGGATTCCCTGGGGTCCAGTGGTGCTGCTGGGCTGAAATTGGGCGGTGGGTCGGTCGGCAGGAAGGCGGGCGAAGGGAGCACTCAGTGCTTCCTCTTCAGCTCCTTCACAAGCCGCTATGCCGGAAGATGACGTCATCTTCCGGCTCCGGCATCAGTGCGGTGCGCGAGGGAGCTGAAGAGGAAGCACTGAGTGCTCCCTCGCGCGCCCGCCTTCCTGCCCGACCGGCCACCCGCCCGCCGGGTCAGCGGGGCCCACGGGGCAGGTGCCTCGGGCCCCCCAAGAGAAACTGCCCGTTTGCCCCGCGTTAAAGACGGCCCTGAACGTTACAGGGTCAAGTATAAGGCATTCCCCTTGTCCAATTTTTACACATTGCAATTTGCCAGGTTGGTTGTGTTGCCCTAGAGACCTTATGGCTGCCCAGGAATGAAAATGATCCATATCATGGCATACCATTTGAAAAAGTAGACAACCCAGGGTATTCAAAATAGGGTATATCCAGACTTTCTTAGTAGCTACTTAGTCACAAACACCGGCCAAAGTTAGTGTTTATATCTGTTTTTTTAATTTTTTACAAATAAGCTGCCCTTTCACCGGTGGTATCATCAGCATTATGTGTTTTATTGCTCTAAAATACTCATATCTGTGCTCAGTAATATCTCACAAGTACAACTCCCCAGGGTAACTTACAGCTCCTGTAAAGCTGCCTGGCCGTGTTAAATGGGAAACCGTAACACATACTCCGTCCTCGTTTGCTAAAACAGACCCTCCTTCCACATCCAAGAGCTGCCACTTTTCCAAGGATTGGTAGATTGACCAATATATAGCTGCAAGAACCCAGAGAAAGTCAAAATACACGCATTGCTGACACCTCCCTCTGCAGTTCCAATCCACAAAAATAGACAAAAATGAGGGCAGCATAAACAATTGCAAATGTGCACACCAAGTGCTACAAACAGATTTATTTACAAGGACATAGAGTACAAACGTTTCGGGTTATTCCCTTTATCAATGCATGTCTTTACCAAGGGTGCACATTTGCAATTGCAGCCCCGCTTATCAGAAGATTAACTCCAACATGGAAATAGGGCTGCTAAAACTGTAACAGACTTCGAGGCACACACTCACTGTCTGTATCCACATATACATTTATTCAGAATGCTTTTCCGCCTTCACAAATACAACTTCCCGTTTTTTTGTTTTTTTTTGTGAAAATAGAAAGTTAAATGCTCTTCGTGTTATGAACTGTATCACATAACGCTGCCAATCTTATTTACCAATGTATGTTAATTTTGGATGATGTTCGACATGGTTAATATTGCCATTTATTGTTTGCGTTGTATACTTGTCCAATTTACCATGTAATGAATTTATTTATTTTTTTTAAAGCTTCAGTAATCTTGACTATTTGAACTATATTTTATTAATCAAACATGTCTTAGATCAAGGCAAAACAAATCCCAGGAGCCAGGTCGCAATGGCTACTATGAAAATTTGTCCTGGCTCCTGGTATGTGTGAGCCCCTTCAGCCCCCGAGGTGACTAGCAACTTGAGATGGGCGGTGTCATCAAGCTCATTGAGAGCGAGGTTGGGCGAACAGGCAGGTGGCTAATAGTGAGCAGAAACGTGCGGGCAGACAGGCAAGCGGCTCATAGAACAAAAAGAGCTGAGACAGGTAGGCAGACGGCTGACTGATTGCGGAGGCGGCGAGGTAGCTGTGATCTTCCTGCTCTGCTCCCTCACACGCCCTCCAGTGATACCAGGAGTTGGAATATGACATCACTCCTGCCTCAGCTCACTAAACAGCGCGCAAGGGAGCAGGAAGATGATCAGAGCAGTCCCACTGGACCCCAAGGAAAGTTAGGGAGGCAGGTTGGAGAAATTTAAATAAAATAATTCATTTGTGAGTGTATGTGAAAATGTATGTGTATTAAAGTAAAAGTGAGTGTGTCTGTCTGTCAGTGAGAGTATGTGTTTGTCTGTCAGTGAGAGTGTGTGTCTGTCTGTGAGAGTGTCTGTATGTGTGTGTCTGTCAGTGAATGTGTTTCTGTGTGTCTGTCAGTAAGTGTGTGTCTGTCAGTGAGTGCGTCTGTTTAGGCGGCCGGCCCTTCCGTTGGCAATGGAAATGGTGTTTTCACTGACCTTTTTCCAACTCTGTGCCCGTCTTTTCATTGCTGAGATCATCATCACTTGATGATTTCAGCCAATCCAACGCATTCCCATTGGAAAGCATTTGGAGACTATTGTGCACTTCGCAGAAAAACACACTGCCCCAATCAGCATCTCCTCATAGATATGCATTGAATCAATGCATCTGTATGGTGAGCATTTAGACGCTGAATGGAGGTGATGCACACTGTGTAGCACTGACCCAGGATGCACCTCTAGAGGCCATCTGAGTGACTGCCACTAGAGGTGTTACTAGGCTGCAATGTATACTGACTTTTGTCTGAAAAAGGCAGTGATTACATTGAAAAGTGTGTAAGGACAGGCTATAGATTTCAGAACAACTACATTAAGCTGTAGTTGTTCTGGTGACTATAGTGTCCCTTTAAGAATGGTATTTATCTAGGACATAGATCATAAAGGATTAAAAAAATCCAATTCAAGGCCATTGGCTTCACAGCTAATTGTGAAATTCTTTGCAAGGCAGATGCCCTGGACTAAACAACCAGGAAGTAACAGGACCGTCTGTCTGACAGCCGGGAAGGCGTAACAAGGTTCATCTACAAAAGTGCCAATTTGTCTTGTGATTGGCATGTGTGATCTCTAGCAAGCTCTAATTTAACCCCTTCATTACAGCAAAGGAACTAATGTGTGGCCAGGGCTGGTGCAAGGATTTTTGCCGCCCTAGGCAAACAAAAACTTGCCACCCCCCATATGCTCTGCCCACCATGTGACATCACAATGCCCCACCCATATGATCTGCCATATGGGCCAACGCCAGTTCTGCACACAGTGTCTTTTGTCTGAAAAGGCAGTATGTTTACATTAAAAAGTCTGCAGGGACAGGCTATAAACACCAGAAACACTACATTAAGCTGTAGTGGGTCTGGTGACTATAGTGTCCCTATAATGTGAGGTAAATTAGAGATTAGTGCCACTAATAATATACTGGATTGATGCCCATAGAACAGCAAAGCTAGGTGGAATGGGCCTTGACATAGCTAGGAGGCAGGCATAGGGACTTGTCTCTGAACGGTGATGGCCTAATAAACTTTTCCTGCTCCATTGCCTAGTGTTAATTGGTGCTATAATTCCCGAAATACCCACACAAATGGGGAAAAATAATAACCCACCAGCTCCCAGAAGGCTGCTGCTTGTAGACCCCGTTTCTACGCTGGTACCTCTCAACTCCGGCGGACCTCGCTACTCCGACGGACCTGCCTGTGTAAGAGGGGACCTTCGATGATCAAGGAGACACCTCCCCTCGCTTCTCCCCATAGGACAGGTCCCCGAAGCCTGAGGACAGGGAATGGATCACCCTCCTCCGGGCTTTACCTACTCCGATTACTTAGCGGCCAACCAACAGCGCACTGCTGGCCTCGATCTGGGCCAACATACAGTCGCTATGGGACGACGTGCAGGGCCTGACCGATCGAGTGTGCCACCTGGAATCTACCTGTGACCTGCTCCAGGGGGACCTCTCACATTAACCAGCAAAGTGGCTGACCGTCAGGCGGAATATCTCAGAAGCCTGGCCCTCCATGTGGAGGATCTTGACGATCGAGGTTGGCAGAAAAATTTGCAGCTGCAGGGACTCCCTGGATCAGACAACATCCACGACCAGTTGTGTAGCACTCTGGAAGAGATCTTCAATGGCCTGTTGAAACGGGACCCGTCCATAAAGATCGCGTTTGTCTGCGCCCAGCAGGCCTTGCGGCCTAGAGGACCACTGGAGGCCCCTCCACGGGATGTTATATGCTGCCTGGAATCATTTGCGGAATGGGAGAGTATCCTGCGGACGGCTAGGGACACCGGCACCTTCAGACCAAACTGCAGCTGATCCCGGACCTTTCCCCGGCCACGCTACGCTACTGCAGGATGCTACAGCCCCTCACGCAGGCCCTGCAGCCGCAGGAGGTCCATTATTGGTGGCTGTTCCCGACGGGCCTCTCCATGAAGGCTCCGGAGGGCCCGGTAGTACTCCGATCTCACGCTGGTCTGGTACACCTGGGGTCCGTAATCCCTCTCCCGCCCCTCAATATGAAGTGGGCAGACCCGGCTGAATTCTATTTGCCCATCATACCTGCGGGCGTGCAGGCTGCCCCTGATCCCCCACTTACACCCTGGTCCCTTAGGCTAGCGGCCTTGACGCAGCACCAGACAGCCTGCATCACAGCGATCTCCCAGACGGACCTTCTGCACCAGTGGACTGGGCCTATGGAGCACTTAGTTCCTGCTGCCGGTTGCCCTCGCTACCCTTCTTTCCCACTTCCCACTTGTGTCTCACCGCTCTCTTCCAGCCGCTTGGTAACTGCTAGCTCCATACCCTCTCCACACCCCTCCTTCCAACCTCTCCCTCCCCCTCTCCTTCCAACCCCTCCCTTCCCCGTCCTTCCAACCCTCCTCCCCCCCTCCCTTTGTTTCACCCCCCGGCATCGGATATGGGCTCGTAGAGGAAAGATTACCTGCAGGACCGTGGCTGGGAGGATGCCGCCCGCCAAGCGCACGCCAGGAAGGGGACCGCGGACGGCTGGAGGGTGAGTGCCGCGAGCGGACTGCAACCTCCCCTCGCAGCCGCCCGCGGGACCCTGACATTGGCATTCCAAAGGGGTGCTCTTCTTTTAGAAATGACTAATCATAGGTTTCACCTTTCACCACTGAACTTCAAGTTGTTTCTATAGAAAACACATAAATTTTACTCGAGGGGTACTCATCAGACATGACGAGACAATAAGGTAACTCGTGTGAAGGCATGGAGCATCCAGGCATGGAGCATCATGCTTGATGCCCATAGAAGAGCAAAGCTAGGTGGAATGGGCCTTGACATAGCTAGGAGGCAGGCATAGGAAAACTTGAGTCTGTTAGTAAAAGGGGGCGGGGCTTAGGGTTGATATATATAGCGGCCATTTTAGGTAATAAACCATTCTAATTGAAAATTTTCACTTACTGGTTTCTGGCAGACTCTCCTGTGTTTTAGGCCTTGCCTGCTGTTTCCAGTCCTGCATATCCCAGCATTTCTGCTCCACTTGTGCAGCCACCTACTCTGCTCTGTTCTCCTCGAAGGCCCCTAGCCCCTGCTACTGGCTGGTGTGGATAGGTGGTCGGGGGAGGAGTTCCATTGCGGCCGCATGCCGGGTACTGAGGCGTGCTGGCAGGATAGTGCAACACAGTGCCTCATGGCGGTCGGTGGGACATTGCGGATTTTGGCTGCGGCAGGCCCCAGGATCCCAGGAGGCACTGCCATGATGGTGGAGCAGCAGGATGCAGGCTCAGGAGTGCTAGCAGGGGCCTAGCAGGGCCTAGCAATCGGACTCTGGGCCTAGCAGGGGTTCTGTTGGTGTTCAGCAGGGGAGAGAGGTTGGGGGGCCCCCTACCCAGCCAGGATCTAATAAGGGTGATGCAGCCACCAGGGGCTTGGCCAGCGGGGACAGCATAGCACCCTTGGAAGGCTCTAGGGTTGGGGAGGATGAGTCCCAGGCAGGAGTATGAGGGGTCCCATGCATCTCCTCCCATACCGTGGCGACTCCAGGCAGTGGTGTGGAGCGCCCAGCAAGCGACTATGGTGACTGGCAGTGACGTCACTGGCAGCCACAGCAGGGAGCCCCCTGTGGCTCAGGGTAGTGTGTGACAGTACACGGGTGGACAGGACATGCCACACTCAGGATAGGGATGCCAGGTCCCCAGGTTCCTCTGTCTACAGCGGGGCTGGCGGGCAGAGATTGCGCCATCACTCCAGGAGCCATTGACGGAGCAGGCATCACAGCGACAGCAGGGGATCCCTAACAGTAGCCAGGAGAGAGTGTGTTACCGCTCACCTAGCCAGGATGGGAGGCACTACATCTCACTAGTTAAGGGTGTAAGTTCCAGGAGGCTTCTAGGTCCATTGTTGGAGACTCCCCGGTCACTCGGGCACAGGGCTTTTCCCGGGCCGACTACGGCCGCAAGGGCCAGGACGCCAGATCCAGGAGTAGCAGGTCCAGGAAAGGTTCGCTGGGTGAGGTCAGGGGGGCTCACAGCCACATCCACTGCCACAGGGTTTCTCGCCAGTGAAAGTCTGCGCGATGCTCCCGTGGCTAAGCAGATACGGTTACCAAATGTGGCACTGCTACGGGAAGGGTTTTTTAGAGGGTTTTGTATTCCATTTAGAGAGCGGGCAGTGGTTCGCTGTTTTTGTAATTTTCGGTCTGTTGCAGACTATCCAGGAGTTGTGCGTGAGAAGTTACCCAATTGGGGAGAATGGCGGGACCTTTTGACGAGCCGCTAATTCGGGATCTGAGTATTTCACCATTGGGGGTCGTGCCCAAGAGAGAGGCAAACAGGTTTCGATAATACATCTTTCTTACCCCAAGGGGGGTCAGTAAATGATGACATTGACGGGGGCTCTGTTCTGTTTCCTATGCATCATTTGACCAAGCTGTCGTGTTGGTTCGGAAAGCGGGTTTTGGGGCGTTGTTGGCTAAGGCCGATGTGGAATTAGCGTTCGACTTTTGCATATTCATCATTTGCTGGGTTGCTTTTTTGACGGAAGATACTTTGTGGATCTATGTTTGCCTATTGAATGTTCCATCTCAAGTGCTTACTTTGAAAAATGTTGTACTTTTTTGGAGTGGGTAGTTAAGATGGAGGCGGGCACCAAGTTGGTTGTACATTATTTGGATGACTTCCTGTGTGTCGCCCCCGCAGGTTCGGATACCTGTCAGATTGGGCTGAGGATACTGGAATGGGTGGCTCACGTTTTCGGGGTACCATTGGTAGTCGACAAGTCTGTGGGGCCTTCTACATACCTTAGTTTCTTGGGGCTCGAGATTGATACCGTGGCAGGTGAATGATGGTTACTGCAGGATAAACTGCCCACTCTGTGGGAGATCATTGCGGAAGTACATGGGTCTAAGAAAGTGACGTCGCGGGCTTTGTTCTTGATTGGGCAGCTGAATTTCACTTGTCAGGTGATCCCTATGGGTTGGGTGTTCAACCGGTTCTTGGCCAAGGCCACCGGTGGGGTGAACTTACCGCATCACTTTATCCGGGTCTTGGGTCCGATGAAGGAGGACTTGGGTGTTTGGGAGGTATTCCTTCGTGATTTTAATGGGAGGGTTTCCTTTCGGAAGGTGGCAGTTTCGTTTCCGGAATTGGAATTATTTACTGACGCATCAGGGAGTGTGGATTTTGGAGCCTACTTTACGGGCCAATGATGTGCAGAAAAGTGTCCCACAGACTGCACCACAAGCTCGCTTATTAGGAATTTAGCCTTTTTGGAATTGTTTCCGTTGGTGGTTGCTTTATAGTTATGGGGGCATGTTTTAAAAGATAGGAAGGTTGTTTTCTTTACAGACAACATGGCAGAAATTGTGGGGCCCCTAACACAGCTCAAGGTCTGGGCCACCGTGTGCCCGCCTAGCAAGCCCTGCCTCCACAGGAATACACACACACAGACACAAAAGGAGACAGACACATACACAGAAAGATACACACATACTAACAGATACAAATACTGAAACAGACATACACACATATAGACACATACAGATACACACACACACACACACACACATTGACATACAGACACACACACACTGTTGTACATACATACTCACATACTGACACACACACATACATACAGACAGACATACATACTGACAAACTGACATACAAACAAACTGACATACAGACATACATACACATAAATACATACTGGCATACATACATAATGGCATACATACACATACATACTGATATACATACATACATACAGACATACACACACACACACAGATAGATATATACATACACAGATACACACAGACATACTGACATACACACACACACACAGACATACATGCATACTGACATACATACTGATAGATATACAAAATACATACGAGGCACGTCCAGCCGCCATGATGTCCAGGCCCCGCCCGCTATAAACATATTTTAAGTGAGTAACTTGACTAATTGGGAACAATCACTGCATCCTATTATGGTTATGTTGTCGCCAGTCTCTGTTCATGTAGTGACTGCTATGTAGGGGTCGGGTTTTAGCCCCTGTGGTACGGACGGGACAGTTCTTGTCGGGTACCAAGAGTGTGTTGGGGAGGTTGTACTCTGCTGGCCCGTCTGGGTGAAAGAGTCCAGTGGTAGGCCCAAGGCCTGCAGTAGCGTTGCTGTGTCGCTCAGGTCCTGGATCTGGTGGGAGTCCAGCCCTCGGTGGATGGTGAGCATGTGGGGTGGCCGCCAGCGGGATTGGAGATCGTGCCGTCGGAGGAGTGTGGTGAGTGGCCGGAGGGAGTGCCGTCATGCCAGGGTATCGCTCGAGTGGTCGGCAAAGAAGCTCAGTGACATGTTTTCAAATTGGAGGGGCGTTTTTCCCCGTAGGGCGTTGAGGACTGCCGTTTTGTCCTGTCTGTTGCGGAAGGTGACTATTACGTCCCTGGTAGCTGTGGTTGGTGCTCTTGGTGATCCTAAAGAGGCAGTCAGGGCTAATGCTTTTAATTTGTGTGGGTGTCAGTATATTTGTGAGCAGGCATTTGATGACCTGTGGGAGTTCTGCATCTGGTATCGCCTCAGTGACCCCTCTAAACTTCAGGTTATTTCTCCTCCTGGCGTCCTCTTGTTCCGCAAGGCGGTGTTCATAAGTCTGTTGTTGTGATTGCAGGTCGCTTACAGCCTGTTGAAGTTCCCCAATGTCTCGGGTGTTGGTCAGGGCCAGACTGGGAATTAAAAGCAGCCCTGGAAAAAAAATATTTACCAGCCCCATAATGCATCGCACCAGCATAGTGTGCAGATACAGAGTTAGAACAGATAACTTAAAATTAAAAAGTACTCCAACGTAAAAAGCGCACTCATAGGTTTCAAAATAAACAAAAGTGCAGATTTATTTTAAGCAGATGTATCTTTGCATGTAATCAATGTTTCAGTCCAACTACCTTGACATATTAAGGAAAGCTTGGTAATGGGACTGAAATGGTGAATGTATGTAGGGCACAACTGTAAAAAATGTTTATTTTGAAGTCCTGTGGGTGCGCTCTTCACTTTAAATATGTTATTGTGCTGGAGTACGCACCTAGCAACAAGACTGGGCCAATATCTGCTCATTACATATGGTACATATTAATGAAATTTCTCTGTGTATTATGCATATATAAATGTACATTAATATATGTGTAAATATTATAGGCATAAATCTATCTATATATATAACTAATACACACATTAATATACATTTCATATACCAGTGGCGGATCCAGAGCCTGTATCCGGGAGGGGCACTTGTAGATTATTTAAATAAATATTCCTTGCACAATAACCACTACTCCTCTGTGTAGTGGTTATGGTGCCAGGAGTGCCGGGACCCCCTCCCAGAGTAAGTAGTCAAACCGTTTAAGAACAGTTTGGCAACTTACCTGGAGTCTGCTGGGATATAGGGCTGTAGTAGGGTATAGGAGCAGTGGTACAATGTGTGAGGGGTGCAATGTGTGTGAAAGGTTCAGTGTGTGGGGCAATGTGTGTATGGGGGGCAGTGTGTGAATGTGTATGGTGTGTGTGGGGGCAGTGTGTGACTGTGTATGGTGTGTGTGTGTGGGGGCAGTGTGTGTATGGGGAATCCCTGGTGGTCGCAGTGGTGAGAGTGAACTCTAGCCCATAGCTCCAGGGCTAGAGTTCACCCTCGTGAGAGCCGGCAACGCTCTGTGCTCGCGCGAGAAGGACCCAGGGGAGCTGCAGATTGAGCTCCCGGGTCCTCTCTTCCTCCCTCCCCTGCTGGCTGCCCGCACGGTGCCTGTGAAACCGGGAGGGAGATCGGCCGGCAGGGAAAAGCCTTCGTGGGGGGGAATTGCCCCGTTGCCCCCCCTATCCACCAGTGATATATACAGACCCTATGTGTGTCTCTTTTTAACTCCAGCCCCTCTATGTGCCTTTTTGTTTCCCCCCAGTCACTCTATATGTTTCTTTCTCCCCCTCACTGCTCCTCTGTGTCAATGTCTCCCCTCTCCTTCCCAGTCTCTCTCTTCCCTCTCTGTCCCTTTCTCCCCCTCCCCTTATGTCTCTCTCATTTCTCCCTCTTTGTCTCTCTCTTCCCCTCTGTCTCTTTCCCCCCCGTTTCCCTGTGTCTCTCCCTCCTCCACATCTCTCTTCCCCTCTGTCTCTTTCTCCCCCCTTTCCCTTTGTCTCTCCCTCCTCCACATCTCTCTTCCCCTCTGTCACTTTCTCCCCACTTTCCCTGTGTCTCTCCCTCCTCCACATCTCTCTTCCCCTCTGTCTCTTTCTCCCCCCTTTCCCTGTGTCTCTCCTTCCTCCACATCTCTCTTCCCTTCTGTCTCTTTCTCCCCCCTTTCCCTGTGTCTCTCCTTCCTCCACATCTCTCTTCCCTTCTGTCTCTTTCTCCCCCCTTTCCCTGTGTCTTTCCCTCCTCCAAATCTCTTTTCCCCTCTGTCTCTTTCTTCCCTCTTTCCCTGTGTCTCTCCCTCCTCCACATCTCTCTTCCCCTCTGTCTCTTTCTCCTCCCTCCACCATCTCTCTATTCCTCCTTTTTCTCCCTCCTTCCCCTGTGTCTATTCCCCTCCTGTTTTATTCCCCCCCCCATTTACCTAGAGAAAGCAGGGGGGCGGCCACGTTCCAGGCTGGAGCCGCCGGGCCGGGTGGCACAGCATGCTGTGCTGGGGATTGTGGGAACCGCGAGGGAGCATGGTAGACATGCTCCTCCTCCTTCAGCCCTCAGCACCATCAGTGACAGAAGTGCCGCCGGACCGGCGAAGCTGCCACCCGGCCTGACGGCTCCCCCCTCTGAGTGTGCCACCGGACCGGCCACCCGGTGGCACCTATATGCGCAGCGCAGCCCCCAGGTGCCGCGGCCCACCGGGAAATTTCCCGGTATCCCGGTGGGCCAGTCCGGCCCTGGTGTTGGTTGTGGAGGCCCTTTCAAGGGTGCTCATGCAGGCTGTCAAGCCCTTTAGGTCTCCCCGTAGCGCTGTGATGTCCTTTTGTATGTTTGTTTGTAGTTCTGCGAGCAGTTGTTTTAGGATCGATGTGGTCACCGGAGCGGAGTCTGGATTGGGTTTGTTCGGCTGTGAGGACAGTCCCGATGTGGGAGCCGGTAAGTAATCTTCTCCGGAAAGGTTATCGGAGAAGTTGGAGAAGCCTCCATGGAGCACCGCCATATTGGGCCCGCTTGCGCCGCGTGCCTGTTTCCACATGTCCCCGATGGTTAGCCTAGAGGTGGGTTTTTCCGTGATCATTTTCTTAGTTTTGCGTCCCATGTATGTCGTTTGGGTATTTTTCCCGATTTTGCCGTTTGTAGCTTGGAGCTCCTGTTTAATGCGACTGCTTGCCTTTGCGGTGAGCTGCATTTGATTTAATGTTGTTTTTTGTGCACGTCACGTGCCTGGTTTCCTAAACGTGCAGAAGCTTCCGGAGCGCAGTTGGAAGGTTTGACATGTCAGGAGGCCAGTGTCCTTTTCGTTGCTTCACCAGCTTGTGGGGGTATTACCGGGTATTTGTTTTTCTCGTTACGAGGTTTTACTGTTTTCGTGGCTTTTGTTTGGGCTTTTATTGGGGCATTTCAAGTCGGTGAACCGGTAAGTAGTAGCCAGCTCCGGGGAGGGGGTCTCCAAGCGTCGGATGTGGAAGTTTGGGGTGATAAGGTATCGATTCGTCTTCAACATTCGAAAACGGATATCTTCGATAAGGGATGCTTAATTACCTTGTTTTCCTAACCAGGAGCAATAGTCTGCCCGATGGGCTGTGCCTCGGAGTACATGGCAGTCCGTTCCAATGTTGGGAGATCTTTCTTCTTCAGTTTGCTAGTGTTTTTCATCTTGGCTTGGATCAGTGGGGTTTGGATGCGTTGTAGTTTGGTACGCATTCCTTTCGTATCGGGACTGCGATGGAAGCAGCCTGATTGGGGTTTGACGATGAGTTGGTAAAGAAGATGGGCAATGGTAATCAGTTAGGTTCCGGTCCTATGTGCGTCCCTATGGTTTGGTGTGATTCATGGGTTGTGGATGGGGGTTTATTGCATGTTATGGTGGTGTTAAATAGTTTCCTTTCTTCCTACTGGATGGGTCGCCTGGCTGATAGGCCACTCCTTCATCTATTGGTCTTCATGGAGAGCCGCAGTTCGCCACCACGGCTTGCAACTGGGCTTTCCGCAAGATTTGGTTTATCTGCACTGGTTGGATTTTCGTGGTTTTGGCTGGAATTATGTCTGTTCTGAGCTATTTCAAAGGCTAGGTCACGGACAGGCTCCGGATTTCATTTTGATTCAGGCCAGGGGGAATGATCTAGGGCTGGTGCCTCAGAGGAATTGGTTTGTAGCATGAAGAGGGATGTGGATAAGATTAGGGGGTTGGCCCCGGGGAGTGATCATTATTTGGTCAGAAATGGTGCCACGTCTTCACTGGCGCTATGCTAGGGATCCTACGGTGATTGCTAGATGTTGCCATAAGATCAATCTCTTAATGGTAGTCTATATCAAACGTTTGAGGGGGGTGCTAATTCGGCACCAAGAGTTGGAAGCGATGCTTCCAGGTTATTTCAGGCATGATGGGGGGCATCTCTGAGATGTAGGCATTGAATTTCTTGAAGGTTTTTAGGACGGTCTCGGTAGGCATTATTCAGGAGGGGTGAGGGCGCTCAGGTGGTCAAGCTTTGTGCTGTGGCGGGGGATTGAGAGAGAAATTGGGGGATAGGTCAGCTCAACAGGTGGGATATATTTTAAGTTCAGTAGCAATAGGATGTTTGGTTTGGTTTTGGCATGTTCCAGCTCGTCGGTAGCTCAGAACCTGGGTGTGTAAGGGTACCTCGGTATACCCCTATAATTGGAAATGGATGCCCTTGGTGGCTGTGTTAACTGTCTGTGTTATATGTTTATATGGATGTATTGATGATATTTATGGTGGGGTCATTGTCTGGGGATAAAGTTATATGTAAAAGTTATGGTGCTGTGATGTCATTAAGTGTTGTTGACAATTACCATTATTAAATACAAGTTTAAATAATTTTAATAAAGCTGTGATAAATTTAACCCAACTTCAAGGTGTCTGTGTTTTATGGGAATAGGGTTTTTTATAAGGGTTACTTTATTAAGATGCTCATAGGACGACTATGCGCATGTCAAGGATTACACAACTAAATACTAAAGAAATAATTCTGTATAAGAAAATTACTCTCTTTCATCACCATAACCAGTGGTGTATCCTGGTTTTGTTCTGCCCTAGCCCCGCACCCTCACCCAGCCTTCCCCGCCCGCCCTTCTAAATACACACATTCACTGACAGATACGCATACACTAGCTAACAGAAACACACACACACACTAACAGACACACTCACACTCACTAACAGACAAACACACACTCACTAACAGACACACACTAACAGACACACTCACTGGCACACACACACTCACACTAACATACACACACACACACACACACTAACAGACACACACAGTCAGACACACACTCACTCACTAGCAGACACACACACACACTAACTAACAGACACACACACTCACAGGCAAACACACACTCAGTAACAGACACACACAGACACACACTAGCAGACACACTCACTGATACACACACACAACAGACACACACACACAGTCAGTCAGACACACACACACTAACAGACACACACTAACAGATACACACTCACTCACTAGCAGACACACACTCACTAACAGACACACACACACTCACAGGCAAACACACTCACACTAACAGACACACACACACAGTCAGACACACACACACACACAGACAGACACATTAACAGACACACACACTAAGAGACACACTCACACTCACTAACAGACACACACACACACACTAACACACATACACACACTAACAGACATACACACACACACTCACATTAACACATTTTTTTTTAATTTAACCCTCCTCCCCCAGCCTCCTTACCTTTGGGAATGCTGGGGGGGTTCTCCTTCTCCCTGGGGGTCCAGTGGCTGCTGGGCGTGCGGGCTGCTGGGCGGCTGGCGAGGGAGTACTTCCCCTGAGCACTCTGCTCAGCTCCCTCGCGCGCTGCAGAGTGAAGCTGGGAGCCAGAATATGACGTCATATTCCGGCTCCCAGCCTCTCTCCGCGGCGCGCGAGGGAGCTGAGCAGAGTGCTCAGGGGAAGTACTCCCTCGCCAGCCGCCCGCCTGCGCCTCTCGCCCAGCCCAGCATGTCAGTTAGCTGCAAGGCTAACAAGACATTTGCCCTGGGCATTTGGGGGCGGCGTTTTTTGCTGCCCCCAGGAAAATGCCGCCCAAGGCAAATGCCTTGTTTACCTCGCGGCTAAAACGTCCCTGACCATAACCACCAACAATTCCATAAAGTTTGTGTTTTGCATGACCGAACAAAAAAGGGTAAAAAAAAGAGAATAACCTTTCATCTATGCAGTTATTCTATGTACAATTTATTGATGGCCTATGGGTTTCGTACACATACAACCGTTTAAAAAAATGCCTTTACTGTATGAATTGTACAATCATAGCTTAAAGAAGGGGCAACCAGAGGTGATGGGGAGCAAGATATTGGCGTTTCTCTTGTTTATAATACAAGGTCATTATAGGTTGGAAATAACACAGATTATGCTTAGTCCATTTTGTGGACAATTCAATAAATAAAGGGAAAAAACTACTTAAAAGACTCTGCTACTTATGCTGGTACTCTGCAAGTAGAAACAGGCAGATACCTAATCTATTGTTGTTTGTTTTTTCTTCTCCAGTAAACCCCTGTCTAGCAGTGGTCTGTGGGATATGTAGTTCAGCATCCATTTATATATATATATATATATATATATATATATATATATATATATATTTATTTTTAAAAAATCTTTATTTTTGCATTGACATAGACTGAAACAGTGCAGTATAAAGAGGCTTATGTAGAAGCCTGATTTCCGTAAATGCGTCATAAATATTACATTACAGGACTGGGAAGAGGTGGGTTACATGCATGCGGTGCATTAACTATCTGAGATTAGCGTGTTCACAGTCTGCCTGATTTTCGTTAGTACCATGGATATGTGTGGTAACTCTGGACTTGCCCATTTTTGTGTTAGTGCCCATCGTGCTGCTAGATATAGCATGTTTAATAATTTTTGTTTGTGTCTATTAAGTCCCTCAGTGGGTCTGGAGAGCAGGCATCCCCAGGGGTCTAGTTCTAATCTTCTTTGAAGAACTTTAGAGCTGAGGTCTTCCACTCTCCTCCAATATTCCGTCACTTTTGGACACTGCCACCACATGTGTATATAACTTCCCTTATCTCCACAAAGATGCCAGCAGGTATCAGTGGGATTCAGCTTCATGTGACATTGCTTGACCGGTGTCGTGTACCACCTAAAGACCATTTTATAGCATTGTTCCTGAAGTGTGACGCACATGGATACCTTGGTGCACACCTCTGATATCTCCTGCCAATCATTTCCCTCAAGAACCTCCCCCAGGATGGCCTCCCATTGGTCAGTTTACTGAGAGTCCTCCATTCCCCTGATTCTGAGCTAATGTGTGGGTAAAGTAGATTAATGTGTTCGGATCTCTTTGGTTCGTGTGGAGTCCATAATATACGGATTGCGGAAATAGTCTCTCGTCTGAAGTGGGGCCTGGGTTCGTAAGTGGTCATAGGTGACTATGTCGCCATTGATGTAAAGGTGTATGTATCTTTGTGGCCCGTGGTCTCTATGCCCTTTAAGTCTCTAGCCCTCATTCCCGAGAGAAACAATCTATTTCTGAGGATTGGAGTCAGTTGGTGACGGATCGTTCCCAAGTGCATATTTTTGCGTTACTTGGTCCCATATTTGGATGGAGTTTAGGACAGCTGGGCATGTCCTTCTTAGTATGGTCCTCTGTATTTTAGGGACCCATAGGTAGAATTGGGATAGATCCGCCCCTGTCATTAGGGATTCAATGTCCACCCATCTCTTCGGTCCGGGGGTGAGTGCCAGTGTATGATCTGGGTCAGTTGGGCTGCTAGGTAGTAGTTGTACAGATGGGGGAGACTCAATCCTCCTCTGCACTTGGGCCGGTATAGTAGGCTGCAGACCAGTCTGTGCCGTTTTTTGCCATATAAAAGAGTCTATTGCTTTTTGCATAGATGTTAGGACTCCTCCGGTAACTATTATGGGCAGGGACTGGAACATGAACAGAAGTCTCGGTAGGATGTTCATTTTTACAGAATGTAAGCGCCCCAGCCACGAGATGGGCTTCTCTGATGGCGGCCGTGTCCGGGACCGAAAGGTGGAAGGGCATCGCCACTGACTTGGAGAGATTGATTTTTTAGCCGTAGAGGTCTCCGTACTGATCTAATAGGGTTAAAAGGTTGGGCATGCTTTGTATCGGGTCTGTGAGGGTCAGCAGGACATCTTCCGCGTATGCTGAGACCTTAAAGGGTTGGTGTGCTATTTCTATGCCTCGGATCCCTGGTTCTGATCTGATGGCCAGATGCAGTGGTTCGAGGGTGATTGCGAACAGCAGTGGCGAGAGTGGGCACCCCTGCTGTGTAGCGTTTCCTAAGGGGAAGGGGGTCTTGGATGACCCAGTGATGAGTGTTTGTGCTCTGTATATGGGATGCTCGTAATCAGCGGGGTGGCCCATATTGAGTGGAGGGCATGTTTACGGCCTTGTGCCAGTTCGGTCGGGTGCGTGAGGGCCCTTACTTATGTTGGCGGGGTTTGTGTTATTGAGGTTCGGGCTTATTGTCTCAATTTGAACTGCACTTGGGTTGGGCCTCTGTGGGGATAGGCGTGGGTGAGAGCGTGCTCTGCACGTATTGGGGTAGAGTTACTCCTAAGGAGTGGTGTCAAGATTCCCACCATTTTTCCCGTTACCCTCTGTACGTGGGCGCGACATATTTAGGCGGGAGCGCCCTGATGCTGGCATTTAGTTTAGTTGTGTGCTTTAAATTGTCGTCCCCTGAGCTGTGTTACACTCTAACATTACTGTGCATTCGGTTCAGCTTTGTAATAACCCTGCTTCTCCCCTCCCGCTGTTTGTCTAATAAACACTTCTTCCGTAACTACATGAGCCCACATTGTCCCGTATCATACAAAATCCCGTTTATGATACACTTAGCTGAGTTTCAGCTTCGGAAGAACCAGACAGTTTGTGAGGTAAGTGTTGTATCCATTTATATTTCTACTAATAGATTATTGCGGCCATATTGTGCTATGAGCCTATTCACAATTTGTCGAGTTTTGAAAATAGGAGTGTTCACAGAGATTGCCAGAGCTGGCAATATATGGAATGCTGTAGCTGGGACACACCCTGGGAGCTGGGGAGGTAAGGTGTTTGCAGATCACTGCAGTGATAAGTTACGGTGTGATAAGTTACGGTGTGCAAAGTGCAGTGACAGGGGACCTCCCTGTACCAGAACCTGCGCAATGACTATATGTTGTATGGTGCTTAGAGTGTCTGTTTAACCCTCCCTTTCTTTCACTTGTGATAAGAGAATAATGAACACTATATCTTTTGTTAAAAGAGGGTTCGTTAGACACTTCTAATTAACCCTCTATTAACAGTAATTAACAGAATTATCAAGGTCATGGAGCAAAATATTTAGTCATCTGTAAGAAAAACAAAACATATCAGGTAGAAATTCTCCGCACGAAGAGTGTGTTATAAACCCCCCCATGCTTAAAGTGACTTTTAGACGTGTCTAGTAGCACAGGACTTTTCTCTTTGAGACCTGATCTTGTGGATATAACTTTCTAAGGCGTGCGGAAATGTAATGCAGGTATTGGCATAGCAAGTGCTATGTTGCAAAGATGGGAGTGCAGGAGGACCGTGCACTAGAGGTATTTTCCAATTAGTTGTGGTGCAGGACGATGTAATAGATTGTCTTGTAGGTTGGATTTCCTATTATCTCGATTCGCTTTTGCAAGATCTCCTACAAGTGAGCAGTGACAGTGCAAGATCCAAATGCCTAGACAGCCAGGCAGTTAGATGCCCACCACACTGTAGTCTTGCTATGTAGAAAAAAATTAACACAGAATGCGACAGAGGTGTTTGTTACTAATTAAAAGGTACTTAAAACCCTTTGTGTACACTAAAACACAACAGGACTAAGGATAGAGCATCTACTAATAAGTTTATATTGGCAATAGTCAACTACTATTGGTCAGTAGCATATCTGTGCATATTTGACATGCATCTGAACTTTCTGCAGAATGATGTACAGTTATAGAATTGTAATAGGTCATAGAAGGCCAAGATAACATGTGGTGCCAACAAGTAACACAGCCAACTTTTTAAAGCAGGTGACATGACACTGGACAATAATCCATTATTTACATATCTTGGTAAAAATAAAACCATTTCAGTGCTGTATTTTAATACTGGGGGAAATAGTGACTAGAATGGGGCAAAAAAAACCAAAATAAAACAAAAAAAATGTAAAGAAATAATAATTAAAAAATATATATTATATAAATTAAATGTATATATATATATATATATATATATATATATATATAGCTATAATAAAACATACACCATGAGGAATTCTTTTAATTTCCATGGTGCTGAAAGTTCCATTTTTTTTTTGAATATTGGCCCCAAAATTCCTGTTTTCACAGCAAACTCTCCCAATGTATTTATGTCCTTTGTTTGAAAAACCGTTTGGCTACTTCCTAACACGTGGCTCCCTTCCGCCTCCTCTAGTCTACCATTGCGCATGCGCCATCTGCAGGCGCGTCGAGCACTCCAACTGAGTGACGTAAATTGGCGAGCGCCGCCTGCCGGGGACACGTCATCGGTGTGTGACATCAGGAAGGTAATGGTTCTCTCCCATGTGACTCTTTGTATGTCTTCTCATCATGTCTGCCTGTACCCTCCTGTATTTATCCCTCCCATGGGGCGCTCAGTGATGGGTTCAGGGGGGATTGGGGTAGTTATTATCATTATGATTTATAGTAATTTGCTCTCAGTATTTGTTTAATGTTTTTATTACACACCAGCAGCTAAATCATAGCTTCATCCACTAAATACCTGCTATTTCTGTTTAGGCTGATCTAGCCAAGCTGCCTGTGAATATACTCCTGCTGCCTAATATCTGTACTTCAGGTTTGTTTTATTACAATTCTCAGTTTAGTAAATACCTCTCTGCCTGTTTAATGATTTTAAAAAAAATAATTCAGATTTGTTTAATTTAATTTGTTAGGAATCTAAAGAGAATCCTTTTAGGCCTCAATAACAGCAGTCAGCTTTTGATTTCAGTTATTTTGTCACAATATTGGGAGTTGACATTTTGGGAATAACCCTCTTAATCTTTGGTACACACCGCATTTATTTGTTTTGGTAATAAAACTTAAAAATAAACACTATTTATAAGGCTAGAACAGGGATAGGCAACCATCGGCACTCAAGATGTTTTATACTACATCTCCCATAATGCTGGCAATGCATCATGGGAGGTGTAGTCCAAAACATCTGGAGTGCCAAAGGTTCCCTATCCCTGGGCTAGAATATAATGTTCAAATTTGTTTTGTACAATGTTATATTAGAACTGGAATGTTAAACCTTATTTTTGTGGTAAAAAGTGTTTTGTTCTATTGCATTGTTCAGAGTACTTGTAACTTATTACATCCATTGTACAACGCTGAATTTGTTGGAGCTATATAAATAGTAATAATTTACTGTAATTTGGCAGGTGTAGGTTGCTGTAGGGATTTGTGTATTTTTTTAATTTCTTTTTTTTTAATTTCTTTTTATTATAAAAGTGCAGATTTCAATAGATATCATCACTTTTAGAAACCTTCTCCAAAACACTTCTCCAGTTGTCAATCACACAGCAGGGTAGTGTGGTGGTGTTTTTTGTTTTTTTTAAATTTTGTATTCTTCTTCTGTAAACTCTGTAAAAAAAATGCCTAAAAATTCATGCATATTTTGTTTGGGGGATATCTATGAGTTGGTTTAATTCGGTAATGTTTCTTTTAAATTGTTTTTATTTATTTTTTTAATTGCAGCAGAAGATATTACTTTTGTGCTTTACATACAATTTTATCTTTTATGAAATACTTTGTGCTGGAATTTTAAGGGAATTCCTACACAGTCAAACTGAAAAGATATACTGAGATGTACTAGTGAATACTTTTTGCCTCGTTTCCACTGAGAAGTATGGTTTGGGTCGGAACGGTTCGGAAGGTTTAGAATGGTCCAGACTATTCAGGTTAACGTTTCCACTGCAAGTCGTACTGCCATGGGTCATGCAGGGTTTAGACCAAATGCCTAGCGTGTCATTCTGTCGTGAGCTTTGACATTTTCCTGTCCTCCAGTGGATTGTATAGTGTGATGCCAGTAGCTCCGGCCTAACCGTACCATTTACTAGGGGGCCCAGAAATGGTGCTGTTTGGTTCGGTTGTATGGGCCACTTTCATAATAGAAACACTCAAAATAGTGTACCGAACCGTATCACTCAGTGGAAACGGGGCATTTGTCTCATGTAATTGACCATCTTTGGCAAAAGGTGGCATTTCTGTTCTCATGACTATCACGATGGCTGATGGGAACAGGCATTATAACATAAAAAAATAAATAAAGAGCAATTAAACACATCAATATGTTCCAGTATACCATAAAAAGTAATAATGGATTTGATTCAGACAGGAAAACCAACAAATTCTTTATTTAGAAATAATGAGATACAGTGAGCACTATATTTTATTCCTTCTATTTTGGGCTGGATCGCACCAATATTGGACTACTGATTCGTCTTGTACACCTGCCAACCAGCACCACTTCACATATCCTTAAGTGGGGATCATTCCACTTCACGCATTCAATACCAGAGCTGGATTTTAGCTCTGGAGACTGTGAGTAGTACTGATCACCACTATTTTATTATCTTATTTTGTCTACATACTGTACCATTGGAGTCCTGTTTCTTTCCTCATATGCTTCTCTGAATTTCAAGTACATACCCGAGAAGACTGATTCCATTTTACTGTATTTCAAGAGTCCTTCCTATGAGCGTGGATTGCACCATACTAGATTTATGATAAGTCATTTGGACTATTATTATTTTTATTATCTTTTTTTTTTTAAGGCGCACCCTTTTTTATTTTGTGTTATATTTATTGTTAGGGGATTAGAGGGGACTCCCCTTTTTTTTTTCTTGAGGTGTGCAGCCGTGTACTTTTTATAAATACTTATTTTCTGTGGCAGCTTAGCGCTGACTCTTCTCTTTGATTTCTTTTATTATAACATAATGTGCACAAAATTATCTAGGGAAGACTCCTCGGTCTCATGGGATCTTCCGTAGACTCTGACTTGTGCATGTTGGTGTGTATAATAGTGAGAACAGCTCCTGTGAAACTGAGTTGCCGGGAGCTGAAGAAGTGTGGAGATAAGAAGATTGCAGTTTTAGTATATCTTCCTATCTGCTCCCCTTCATGGCCACCTTCACATAAGCAGTGATGTTGCCTTGAGAGGTCCTTTAAAATGCTCCACAAGGGACAGTGCCACCTTAAAGGACCACTATAGTGCCAGGAAAACATACTCTGAAACTGCTATGTTTATAAAAGAATGGGTTAACCCTAGAAGGACCTGGCACCCAGACCACTTCATTAAGCTGAAGTGGTCTGGGTGCCTAGAGTGGTCCTTTAAGTCTCTGTTTTGCAATGGACAACTAGCAGCTCATTCAAGGTGTTTGAACTTCATTTCATACTGTTTGGAGGATCATGGACTTGGTGGTTTAGAAGGGGCTTTGCAGCTTTAGTGTTCCTTGTTTTGTTTGTGGTGTTGCATTTTCATTAAACTGTAATGTTTAAACATATTCTTTGAGTATGTGATTGAATCTTGGTGTAGAAGTTGAGATGCCTTCAGTCTCTGGATTCCATCCTCTTGATTATGTAAAAATGCAACACCGGGCTCTCCACTGTGTCTGGAGACGCACCCTTTTGACCTAAAGGAAAACCAAAGACCCCCCCCCTTCTGAAGTCTGGGTGCCTGAAGTGTCCCTTTAACACTTCCGCCTTATTACTGTCTAACCTTGACAACAGTGAATGGCAGAAACAATTGGGGGCAGGGTAGCCCAGTGCTCTCAGCCTATTAGTGCCACGCAGTTTGCACAAATTGGTGGGGAAATGCACCTGGAGACCCCAAGCAACATAACTTCACCAAGATGTGCTAATGGTGTGGCTTAGGGTACCACTTTTTTTTTTTTTTTAAAGCAAGAGTGTCATACTGAAGGAATGCCTGAGCGTGCATGCGCTTATATGGCATTTATCTTTACAAGTCAGTGAGTGTGCCCAGGGGCACGACATGGAAGTGCTGTGATTGCCACAGCATTCTGAGGTGAGGGAAAAAGAAACTTCCATCTCAGAGAATTCTGTAGCACTGTACATTTTAAGTGTGAGAATAAAAAAAATAAAACAAAGATATAATATACATATTTTATTTTTATTTTGTTTTCTGGGCATGTGCTGAAGTCCTGACAACCAAAAATCGAAGTATTCAAAATAAGTGGACTTTGATGCAAAGTGTTGACCAAGGTTTATGTATGTGTTGGTTCTGTTCTGCTGCAGAATATGAATTGATGAACTATAACTCCTAGAAATCTAAGACGTGCCATCATTCAGATCATGCTTTTTGGATTAGAAAAGGAAATGCTGGGGTTTGGGATTAAAAATCAGAGGTTTATGGAGCAAATTTATTTTTTAAAACTAAAGAGACTAAATATAAAAGTCAGTCCCATCCAGCGCATATAACTTTAGGATTAACACCTTTTTTGTTGTTTTTGCATTGTTGGCATGGTATGATATAGTTCCTGTTGACTTCCACGCCCCCTCCGACATCACACACTCTTCAAAGCCTGTGGTCGGACTATTTAGTTGGCATGCATGCACTTTAGGCCCAGTAGAGAGAGGGTGGGTTTATTTTTGAAAGACTTTAAAACTTTTTTATTTTATTTTTATTTTTTTTATGTGCGATGGAAGAAGGCAGGAAGGAGCACACAGTCAGAGGGAGGGGATAGCAATCTTTCCCTTGCAGGCTCTTTACATGCAAGGGAAATGATCATGTCTGTAACAATCGTGCTGTGCGTGCTGATGACAAATGCAAAATATGCACAGAATTTACATTCCGGGGCTGCACACAATAATTCCGTAGATGTGCATTGTTTCAAGCAGAAACACTGCACATACTTCTACAACCATGACCACTTCATATCACTGAGGTGGTGGTTGGAATAACCATCTAAGCTAATGTTGTTTGAGTACTTATAGTGTCCCTTTAAGATCTGTAACCTTCTGTGTTACTGGGAAGCAGGAAGTTCATCCAGTGTGGCAAGTTATCTCCCTAGTGGAAGTACTTTCAAAGGCATGTTTAATTCATTTGGCAAGGTTAGAGATGCAGTGAAACACTCATTTAAAGAAATGGTAAATACCCAGTTTGGCAATTATTGATAAAGAAATAATGTATTTGATTTTCTCAGGTCAGCTATGGATTCCAACCACTTAAAGGGACACTCCAGGCACCCAGACCACTTATGCCCATTGGAGTGGTCTGGGTGCCAGCTCCCACTACTCTTAACCCTGCAACTGTAATTATTATAAACTGTTTTTTTTTTATAAACTGCAATATTTACCTTGCAGGGTTAACTCCACCTGTAGTGGCTGTCTACTAGACAGCCACTAGAGGGCACTTCCTGGTTTCTAGCACAGGAAACCTGTGCTACAGCGTATGTATTTTCAATGCTTTCCTATGGGGAGTGCTAATGCGCATGCGCGGCATTGCCCCGCATGTGCATTAGGTCTCCCCGGCTGGTGGGCGGGATCAGTCTCGCCCACCGGCCAACGCAATCGGAGGTAGGAGTGGCGCGGAGGGAGAAGCAGCGATGTTGGACATCGTTGCTGCCTCTGGTAAGTTACTGAAGGGGTTTTCACCCCTTCAGGAACCGGGGATTGGGGGGTGGGAGGGAGAGGGGACCTGCAGTGCCAGGGAAACGGATTGTTTCCTGGCACTGGAGTTTCCCTTTAAAGGTCACTTTAAACATTATTATAACATCTGCATAGAGCCCTCTTGCCCATAGTACACAGTGGATTCTAACTGCAGTAATTTGCAAAAATGACTGCCCATAGAACCATTCCGATACCATTCTAAGTCCGATACATGTTGAACACATCCCTTCTCTTACCAACTATGTCTGTGACTGTGCGTGGGCAATAGGAGGCTTGGGAGGTTATTGCACACAGCACTATTCACAAAACTGTAATCTGATGAGTGGAACTGCAATTAGGGTCTAAGCTACATATCCTTTAAAACATCTGCTGGACAAGTGTTTATGGGATAAACCACCGACCTCCATAGACCAGAATGTGTAGCTCCTGATGGGTAGAATGAAAAGCTCTCCCTCCCGTTGTTGGAAATTCATAGTGAATTTCAAATTTTAAGGTCAAAGTAGCTGATCTGACAGCAGAGGTGACTTGGAGAATTTTAACCCTGTAAGTGTTCGTATTTTCAGAGTACTCGTGATGAGGTTTGCACATTGGCAAAAACAATACCATCCAAATATATAATTGTGTTCTTCCAGTAACGAGTTTTTACCCTCTTTTCTCTTCGTAGTGATTTGATGCTTTGGATAAAACCGCTTACATCATGAGCCAGTTACAGCCGGAACACGATTCCTATGCAATAGAAGAACCCAGTGATGAGGAACCGGGACTTAGCAGGTACATTTCTGAAAATATAACCGTCATAATCAGTCATCCATTACCTTCTCCTGCTGTACAAGTCTGCAAACAGCAGGAGCTGTGCTCTGAGTTTGCAACCACATACCATACAATAGTTTTCTGCAGGTTGAGGATGATCACTGGGTATAATCAGGCCGTGAATTAGCAATTGGATATCTGATTATGCTACTATGGTTAGAATATCAGAAGGTTGAGGTGGAGTTTGGGCACCAGGGATGAAAATGGCAAAAAATAACAGGTAATCTCGCACGACCAGATTCCTAACTTCATAACAGCTACAGTGCTTGGTGAAACCTTTTAAACTCTAATATTTTGTAATCTGTGCCCTTTACAATATAAGGATATTTTGACCATCCTTTTAACATAATCCGTGAATAGTTTGATTGTGTGTTTATTCCCTTGTGTTTATTTTAGCTCTGAGGATGAACTGGATATACTTTTACATGGGACACAAAAACAGAAACTCAAGCTGATTCGTGAATGTCTGACTGGAGAGAGTGAATCGTCCAGCGATGACGACTTTGAAAAAGAGATGGAAAATGAGTTGAGCAGCACTATGAAAACAATGAAGGGGAGCTGGCAGACTGCTGGTCCTAGTTCAGGTTTGTAGAAGTGAAAGGTGGTGTTTGGATGGTTCTCCTGGGTATTAATGGACAGCGGTCACCTCCAAAAATTTATTTTATTAGAATAATTATTTCGTCAAGTATTGGAAGGATATTGTTAAATCCGCACTGTCACCAATTGGGGACTTGGCCAAATTCACAAAGTCTCCCCACGTTGATATCGCCACTGGTGGTCGAGGAGGGGGGCAGTTAAAAGTGAGTTTACTTACCTGACCCTCACAAGCGCCGCTATCTTGGTCTGGTGAGGTCCTCCTAGGCAATGATGTCACTGCTGCACTCTCACGCATGCGCAAGAGTAGAGTTTTGAGGTCTGTGGTGGATTTTGTGAGACTGCGGGATCCTCCCTAGACACAGCCAATTCCCTGCAGATGTCATCAGTGATGGGTGCAGGGAATTGGCTGTGTCCTATGGAGGATCCTGCCTTGTGTCTATGTCAGGTGAAGGAGAAATGCAGAGAAAAAGTATTCCCTACTTTGTCTCAGTATGTCTCTCGACTTGTTTGAATTTCAGTGAAATTCGAACACCGTCATAAGAAGTATTTCATAAAGATTTTATCTTTTATAAAATACGAATTTTTCAGGGGCATGACAGTGCAGCTTTAATTACAGGAAAAATAAAAAAAGATTTTAACAGCAATACAAATCTCGGTACCAACGGATATTAATTTTATATACAGTATATGTAATAAATTTTTTTATATATATATATATATATATATATATATATATATATATATAATATAACTGTGCCCTTCAGCCATCTACATGCAGCTTGGACTAGTCAGTGTATAGAAACAGAAAGTTAGTCTCTGTGGCCTTCCCTGCTTCTGTGCACTGTCTGACCCAAGGTGCATGTACACTGACCGATGAAGTAAATAACCGTCAAGTCAGTTCTTGAATTGCATGTGTTGGAAGCAGGGACTTTGACAAGGGCCAAATAGTGATGGCTACACAGCCAAGTCAAAGCATCTACAAAACAGCAAGTTTTTTGGGGGATGTTCACTAGGGATCGACCGATATTGAATTTTTATTTTTTATTTTTTTTTAGAGCCGATACCGATAATCTGTGAACTTTCAGGCCAATACCTTACAAATATTCTGTACATTTACCATTTTGAAAAAAATAAACTATTTCTAAAGGTAAATGCACAAAATATACATGCCACGTGTAGTGGATGCAGTTTGTTTAGACAGGGGAGCTGTGTGTGTTTGTGTAGTGGATGCAGTGTGTATTTGTGTAGTGTGTGTATATATAATGAATGCAGTGTATATTTGTGAAGCGTGTGTGTGCATATAATGAATAATGTATTTGTGTAGTGTGTGTGTGTGTGTGTGTGTGTGTGTATGTATAGTGAATGCAGTGTGTTTTTATATAATGAATGCAGAGTGTGTGTTTGTGTAGTATGTGTATAGTGAATGCAGTGTGTGTGCGTATATAATGAATGCGTAGTGTGTGTATATAATGCAGAGTGTGTGTTTCTGTAGGTATGTAATTTGTGTAAAATGGGGGGGAAGGGGAGGCATTTTTTATTTTACTTTTTATTCCCTTCTCCCTGCTTCTTACTTATCCAGGGAGGGTGGATTTGGCATTCCCTGGTGGTCCAGTGGCATGAACTATGCAGTGGGAGCCCAGCAAGCGCTTACTTACCTTCCCAGCAGCTCCCTTCAGCTCCCCTGTGTAAATCTCGCTGCCAGCGTGCAACGCTCTGAAGGCTGCGGGACTCGCAAGATTTAAACAGGGGAGCTGAAGGTAGCTGCTGGGAAGGTAAGTAAGCGCTTGCTGGGTCCCCCAGGACCGCTGGGCTTTTTAATGGACCAGGCGCTCCTGGTATGTATTATCGGCAATATCGGTATCTCTATAAGCTGATACAGATATTGCCTGTAATGCTGACCGTGATAGAAAGGTGTCAGAACACACAGTGCATCACAGTTTGCTGCATATGGGGCTTTGTAGCTGCAAACCGGTTAGAGTTCCCATTATGACCGCTGTCCACTGGCGAAAGCACCCTCAATGGGGAAGTGAGCATCAGAACTGGATTATAGAGTAATGAAACAAGGTTGCCTGGTCTGATTGATCACATTTCCTGTTAGATTGGGTAAATGGTCGGGTATAGGTGTGTGCCTTTTTACCTGGGGAACAGCGGTCATTAAGATGCACTATTGTAAAAGGGCAGGTCTGCTGAGGCAGTGTGCTACTCTGTGCAATGTTCTGCTGGGAAACCTTGGGTCCTGCAATTCATGTGGATGTTTGTAACGGACCGTTTTGCACACAAGGGGTAAAAACCGTTTAGGCGATCGGCCCCCTTTCCAGAGATACAGGCACAGCTACTGCAGAACACCAAACTCCCAAACTGGATACAAAATAGCACTCCAACTCCCGAACTGGAACCTCCCAAATAGCTGCTAGCAGACGAACAGGAAAAGCAGACAATCAGCTTACACTCCTGGCAATCAGTCTCTAACAGCATACAGTGAATCCCCCCAAGAACGAGACAAGGCTCTGTGTTGAGGGTCAAGCAGTGGTCTGAGGTGCTGGCACACCCAGCCTGGTTTTTATTACAGTCTTGCAAATACAGGACCGCCCACAGGGAGGTATAAAATATCCAGTAACATATTAGTTACAACCCACAGATTCCCTCCCCCTTATCCAGAGAGGTAACCCAATACACATACCTTTTACCACAATGCATCCTGGCTTCCTCTCCTCTGCCCAGGGGATAATTGAGAAGTAATTCAATTATCTCCCAGGACAGGGACAAGACTCCATTATGCACATGGTGACACAAAGACAGTAAAACACTTTAAAATACATAAAGTCACATTTGTTACATAACACACAGACATTTAACATATCCCCAGATAGCTCAGGTCTGAGCGCACATTATTAAGTGAATGGCGCTCAACCACACGAATACAGTTTAATCGCCATGGAGCCAAAGTCTTTACAGTCAGTTTCATACGAATGGGCTCCATGGGATTCCTATCTGGGGTATAACACATTCAAACAAATCTACCGAACCCCAGGCAGAAAAGCACGAATGAAGCTTTTCTGCAGGTAAAAAAGATGTCTTAACAGGGGGCCATAGTCCAAAGGTAGCAGGCGAGCAACCAGGCTTCTCTAATGCAATGTGGCGAGATTGGTCTCGTCACAATGTTACTTTGACAGTACCACCTACCTAGAAATTGTGACAGACGACATACACCCATTCATGGCGATGGTGTTCCCTGATGGCAGTGGCCTCTTTCAGCTGGATAATGATGTCTTGCTTCAGTGCATCAGAGTGGTTTTGGCAGCAGGGAGGGGAAGCTACACAATATTAGGCAGGTGATTGTATTCAATATTGTGGCTGAAGTTTTCTGTCATACCCTAAATGTAGGGATGAGTCTCTCAGATTTTTTTTATTTATTTTTTTAATGCAGTATATGTACAGAGATTTATTTTCAATACTTACAATTATTTATTAATTAATGTTTTACAAATAAGACATGAAAGAAAAAAAATAGGACTGAAAGAGGAGTCCTAAGTGGAAGAGTAAAAAGAGTGACGCGATTGACAGGCGGGCGGACCTAAGGGATATCGGACCAATGGGCAGCTAATATGAGCGATCGCCATTAGACACTGCCGAAATAGTAAATCATGATCTGATAATATCACACAATACACTCCCAATTGCTATAATATTGAGACTAATCTTCGAAGTGTTGCGATCGTTGTATTACGCTCTTTCACTTATTTCAGTATTGCGTCCTGTGACGCGAATAATAAGGGGCGTACCTAATGAACGTTTTGACCAATGAGGACTTAACATAGATGTCAACAATTAATTGACCTATGAGAGCCCAACACGGACGGTAACACACGTGGCTCTCAACAGCCTTTTCCATTTCTCTTGTTACAACTAAGGGTATTTAAACAGTTACAAGGAACTTAGAAAGTTTATTGCTCCTGATGACGGCGTGCTAAAAACGCCGAAACGCGCGTCGAGTTTATTTATTTTTAATTATTATTTTTGATTTGTTTTGCACCTTAGGTAGCACAGATGGATTCATTTTATTTCACTTTAGTTATGTTTTTTAGGCAGGGATAGAGGCTGTATTGAAGGCACTTGTATTTCTTTACAGTGCCGAGGTAACTTTTTTTAGGGACAGCAGACTTTTTACAGAAGTCACTGTCTGGGTTTAGCTTTAGGGCAACTTTTCTATATTTCCCACCTCCTTTCCCCCTCTCTTCTTGTAGTTACCTCTGTCTCTTTGGTATTTAGTATTTGTGGTATTTGAACACCGAGATTAGGTATTTACTGGGTAGACCCTTTAGTTATTTATTGGTTTTCAGGGTCCGCTCTGTATGGTTCATTATTACCACATCTTTTTCCACCTGTCCTATTGAGTGTATCCTTAGGATTATTAAAAGGTAGGGACCCCCATTTTTCTCTTTTTACTCTTCCACTTAGGACTCCTCTTTCAGTCCTATTTTTTTCTTTCATGTCTTACTTGCAATTAGGGAGAGTAATTTTTTAAGGGCTAGTTGGCACTAATTCAGTATTACTTATCATTTAATGTTTTACAAAACAATGCTTTAGTCACCAAGGAGCCTATAAATTGGATCTTTGTAGGCAAAGTAAGAATAATTATAGACCCTACATCATTACACAGAATGGCTGGATGTAAACCTCTCCTGGCCAATGAAACCCAGACTCCTCCTGCCCGCATGGTAGCCATTGTAGCTGTACTATAATTATATGGACAATGTTGTTAGAGAAGTACAGGATGTACCTATCAGCCAAACACAGCAAGAAGAAAATGAGAGTGGAAAGCACAGTGGTATTTTTGGGAGGGGAGCCTAGATATCTGTGCTGACACGTGTTACATCTCACAATCAATAGATTGACAGGGACAGCTTTTAACAGACCAACAATCCTAACAGTCACTTTCCTTATTTATTGATCCACTTCTTATCAGTGTCCCTACTTACAGTCTTTCCATCTTCAAACAATATCTATAGCTCTGCAGAGTTCTACCTGGACTGTTTGATTATTTCCGTTTTCATTTTACTTTCAATTCCAAACTTTACATAGCGTCTACAGTGAATGATAATAGTAATAAAAGCCTTTTTATTGACTTTTTTTATAGAGTATTTAATCATGCATTGCCATTTCATTAACATACAGGGTTATCCATTTAAAATGTGAATTTCAGATCCGACCTAGACCATCGTAGCGAGCATAGAGAATCTGTTTAGTTCTGTTACTTTGGCCTAAAGTGTGAAATTTAATTTGAAGTAAAGATGTTATGGAAAAAGCTACTTGACTCCCAAATACATTGAATACATCATATCACAAAGATACATAGTGTATTCAATGTAAAATATTGAGGGATGCCCCCCTCACCTTTTTTGCTGAGCCATCTTTTGAGCTTTGCATGTTTTACGTACCACATATCTCCGGTCCATCCTCTGCTCCTAATGCTGTCTTCTATGATTGGGGACCCGTCTAGGGCAAACCTCCTCAGTGATTGATTTTTTTTGCCGGCGTCTAAACATAGTGGTGTTAGTTTCCATAGCAACTGAAGCATGCACTGTAGTTCCTATGTGTGGGAGAGCAGAAGGACCGCCTGCATGAGTTCTTTTCTGCTCTCCATTGTCGGCATAGTCTGTGCCAAAGATTTTACTGAGAACTGGGTGAAAGACCTATTTGTAAATCGTGTCTTTAGTAAAACTGGCAGCACAATGTGTAGATGAAATTTTGTGCTCTTTCAAAAGTGGTTTGAGGTTATGACCGGGTCCCCCTTAAATTCCGGACATTGCAAAGATTAGTGAATATTCTCCAAAAATAAATAGATAATATATAGTCTGGTTATAATATATATTGGTGTTGGCCTAGCGATAGAAGCCATATTAGTCCACATAAAAAAAAAAAAATCCGTAGAATAATGACCACTATGTATCCTCACCAGCCCCTACTCCAGTCCAGTATTCAGAGGTAGTAGATGAATGGGACCCCCGGTTTCTCTTCCTGTGGGATTTATTTCGATTCACTTTTCAAACTGTTTTGCCTTATGTTAATAATAGTAATACATATCAAAGAAATTGTGTGGTATTTACAGGTGAATTCATGTTGGTCACTGCTGTGTACAAAAGTGTATTTGTCCTAGTATTTGTATTGTTTCGTCAAAGTATTTTGTAAGTAATGATGACAATCTCAAGGGGGCTGCATAGGATAAGATGTATTTATTTTTGCATTACCAAATGTTGACTGTAAACGTGCTATGTATTCCAGATGTGCCTGCTGCCACCACATCGTCTGAGAGCACACCACAGCAATTTTACGATGATATATATTTTGATTCTGACTCTGAAGATGAAAGCAGCAATGGTAAATATAAAAATCACGTTCACTCTTTGATATGATCATGGTTTTCTTCCTTGCTTAATGCATTTTGATATCCACTTAAAGCACCACTCTAGGCACCCAGACCACTTCAGCTTAATGAAGTGGTCTGGGTGCCACGTCCCTCTAGGATTAACCCTTTTTTTTTAATAAACATAGCAGTTTCAGAGAAACTCCTATGTTTATAAATGGGTTAATCCAGCTTCTAAAGCCTCTAGTGGCTGTCTCATTGACAGCCGCTAGAGGTGTTTGCGTGCTTCTCACTGTGAAAATCACAGTGAGAAGACACCAGCGTCCATAGGAAAGCATTATGAATGCTTTCCTATGAGACTGGCTGAATGCGCATTCAAGAGGAGAGGAGGAGAGCTCCCTGCCTGGCGCTGGAAAAAAGGTAAGATTTAACCCTTTCCTGGCCATCCAGCCCGGCGGGAGGGGGAACCTGAGGGTGGGGGCACCCTCAGGGCACTATAGTGGTTCTTTAAGGGACACTACGCAACCAGACCACTTCAGCTCATTGAAGTGGCCTGGGCGCCGTGTCCCTTTTTTACACCTAGTGCTGTAATTTTAAACAATGCAGTTCCAGAGAAACTGCAATGTTTACATTGCTGCACTAAGTCAGCCTTTAGTGGCTTCCTGGATTGAAACAGACCTTTGGTTCGGTGTCTGACGATGGATGTCTTCACACTCTGCCTGACCTCCAGAGTCAGAATTTTCCCCATAGGAAAGCTTGTCACCAGACGACGTCGAAGGGGGTGGAGCATTGACTCAACGCCGAGGGACATTGGCACCGGGATCAGGTAAGTAAATAGGTTTTTAACCCTTTATTTACCCGGGAGGGGATAAGGAGGCAGGGGGAGTGATAGTGCCAGGAACACAGCTTTGTATTCCTGGCACTATAGTATCCCTTTAACCCCTTAAGGACCAAACTTCTGGAATAAAAGGGAATCATGACATGTCACACATGTCGTGTCCTTAAGGGGTTAATCAAGTAATTCAAAACCTTCTAGATTTGTTACAATATAGTGAGATTCACACAAACCTTGCTATGAAGGGGGTTAAATGATTGTTACATATTTTTAATGATGATCTGTACAATATTTATGGTATAACTAGCAATTCCATCTTTATTTGTAAATGCAATGCATACTAATTTCAAACTCTTTAATTTGTAGAATAAGACCGGTGTATAAAATACAAGTACATCACCATAAATCAACAAGATTGTGAATTTATTGTAGTGTGAACCCCCATAATTGAGTTAACCCTTTCTACCATCCAGTTGTCTTTAAAAAAAAATGAATATTGAACGTCACGCTAGTAAGATGGTTAATAAATTGCACTTTTCAAGCAAAAGTGAAACATTTTTACTCCGTGCTAACCACATTCTAGCTCACTGGATTTTTCACCAAACTGGCACCTGACCAGGCTATCGTACATTTTAGATCTATGTAGCAATAATTCAGAATTTTATAATTTAAACTATATATTTGCAGTTCCTTGTTTAATCAATAGCTCTATTAGTGTTGGAATAGAAGTATAAATTGCAGTTATGTCACGACTGCAGAGCTGTAAGCACACGGCACAGTTAGCTGAACATTGTACACATTTTGTGGCTCTAGACCAGGCTTCCCTAAACTCCGGCCCTCCAGATGTTGCCGAACTACAACTCCCATGATTCTATGAATGAAATATAGGATGAGAATCATGGGAGTTGTAGTTCAGCAACATCTGGAGGGCGGAGTTTGGGGAAGCCTAATCTAGATCCTCTTAAATCATTTCTTAGTCATTAATTCACCCCTCCCCTTAGCTGCAGTTAAGAAGATCAAGCCGAGGCGAAAAAACCATCCAGTACTGACCAATGATGACCTTCTGTATGACCCACAAGAGGATGAACGGGACCAGGAGTGGGTTGATGCCAGGAGAAGACGGTAAGCTCGGAAGCTCTGTACTGCCCAGCATAATGATACCAGGCTAATGGGGAGGGCCAGCACTCCACTCAAGATTTGGGTGCAAATCTCCATGTTCTCCTTCCAGTTTATCTTGCAAACAGTATAGAACGCAATAAGAAGCCGCAACACCACAGTAGATGGCAAAGAGACTTATTCCGCCTGTGTAGACCCAACCTCAGGGTCTTTACCAAGCCTTGATAAGGCTTAAAGCGGCACGGTCATTGCGGAATCCAGTTTTTGGTCTTTACCCCCCTCCCGACTCCACTACATCTAATTGTCCCCCTAAGCCCCCAAATGCACCTAAGCTCCCCATATTACCTATTTATTTATTTTTAAAACAAATGTAAAATTGTTATTTTCTGCCTGGACTAAGGTTCTGGGCGCCGCCATCTTTGTGTGGGTTGATGAAGTCCCTGTGGGACACGTCATCTGCCCACAACAGATAGCGCGGTGAAATTCCCGCGCATGCCCAATTAAACAATTGGGCATTCGCTACGGGAATTTCGTCTATTCATTCGTCAGAAAGATGAATGAATAGAAATTTCAGACTAACAAACACTGAATATCGGTGTTCGTTTGTTCAGTTTATTAGGTGCGCAGCTCCGTCAGGAAGCAGTGCTCTCCGCCACTTCCGAAGACCCCCCCTTGTCCTCCCTCACTCTATTGGGGTCAATATGACCTCCATATTGGCATATTATCATACTCGCTATGTCGCGTCTATTAACTAGCGGGGGGGACATAGTGTCGCCCCCCCCACCTGTGTCCCACGAGTCAGGGCTATGCAAATAAATGAGGACATAATGTCCCCCCACCATGAGCAGGTGGGGGTCCTAATTGAAAACGGGGGGACGGGACACCTATTTTGACATTTAGCCCCCACCCGTTGCCCGTGGGTGGGGACCAGAAGGAGGACAATAATTGTCCTCCCATCCGCCGCTCAGGGTTGGGGGCCAGGGAGGGAGGACAATAGGTGTTGTTTTATCACACAGCACAATGCCACAGATGTCGCAAGTTTTAAAGGAAGTGTGCAATTGGCATGCTGACTGCAGAAATGTCCACCAGAGCTGTTGCCCATGAATTGAATGTTCATTTCTCTACCATAAGCCATCTCCAAAGGCATTTCACAGAACTTGGCAGTACATCCAACTGGCCTCACAAGTGCAGACTACGTGTAACCACACCAGCCCAGGACCTCCACATCCAGCATCTTCACCTTCAAGATTGTCTGAGACCAGCCACTCGGACAGCTGCTGCAACAATCGGTTTGCATAACCAAAGAATATCTGCACAAACTGTCACAAACCATCTCAGGGAAGTTCATCTGCATGCTCGTCGTACTCATCGGGGTCTCGACCTGACTGCAGTTCGTCGTCGTAACTGACTTGAGTGGGCAATTGCTCACATTCGATGGCGTCTGGCACTTTGGAGAGGTGTTCTCTTCACGGATGAATCTCGGTTTTCACTGTACAGGGCAGATGGCAGACAGCGTGTATGGTGGCGTGTGGGTGAGCGGTTTGCTGATGTCAATGTTGTGGATCGAGTGGCCCATGGTGGCGTAGGGGGTTAACATAGAAACCTAGAATGTGATGGCAGATAAGAACCATTCGGCCCATCTAGTCTGCCCAATTTTCTAAATACTTTCATTAGTCCCTAGCCTTATCTTAGAGTTGGGATAGCCTTATGCCTATCCCATGCATGCTTAAACTCCTTTACTGTGTTAACCTCTACCATTTCAGCTGGAAGTCTATTCCATGCATCCACTACCCTCTCAGTAAAGTAATACTTCCTGATATTATTTTTAAACCTTTGCCCCTCTAATTTAAGACTAATGTCCTCTTGTTGTGGTAGTTTTTCTTCTTTTAAATATAGTCTCCTCCTTTACTGTGTTGATTCCCTTTATATATTTAAATGTTTCTATCATATCCCCCCTGTCTCGTCTTTCCTCCAAGCTATACATGTTAAGATCCTTTAACCTTTCCTGGTAAGTTTTATCCCGCAATCCATGAACCAGTTTAGTAGCCCTTCTCTGAACCCTCTCTAAGGTATCAATATCCTTCTGAAGATACGGTCTCCAGTACTGTGTACAATACTCCAAGTGAGGTCTCACCAGTGTTCTGTACAATGGCATGAGCACTTCCCTCTTTCTACTGCTAATACTTCTCCCTATACAACCAAGCATTCTGCTAGTCTATTATATTGTCTGCCTACCTTTTAAGTCATCAGTAATAATCACCCTTAAATCCCTTTCCTCATATGTTGAGGTTAGGCTCTATCAAATATTCTGCACTCTGCCCTTGGGTTTTTACATCCAAGATGCATTATCTTGCACTTATCCACATTAAATGTCAGTTGCCACAATTCTGACCATTTTTCTAGTTTACCAAAATCATTTGCCATTTGGCTTATCCCTTCTGGAACATCAACCCTGTTGCATATCTTGGTATCATCAGCAAAAAGACATACCTTACCATCAAGACCTTCTGCAATATCACTAATAAAAATATTAAAGAGAATGGGTCCAAGTAGAGATCCCTGAGGTACCCCACTGGTGACAAGTCCAAGCTTCGAATATATTCCATTAACTACAACCCTCTGTTGCCTGTCACTCAGCCACTGCCTTACCCATTCAACAATATTGGAATCCAAACTTAAAGATTGCAGTTTATTGATAAGCCTTCTATGTGCAACAGGGTTATGGTATGGGCAGGTGTAGGTTATGGACAACGAACACAGGTGCATTTTATTGATGGCATTTCGAATTCACAGAGATACCGTGACGAGATCCTGAGGCCCATTCATCCACAACCATCATGTTGCAGCATGAAAATGCACGGCCCCATGTTGCAAAGATCTGTACACAATTCCTGGAAGCTGAAAACATCCCAGTTCTTGCATGGCCAGCATACTCACCGGACATGTCACCCATTGAGCATGTTTGGGATGCTCTGGATCGGCGTATACCACTGCATGTTCCAGGTTCTGCCAATATCCAGCAACTTTGCACAGCCATTGAAGAGGAGTGGACCAACATTCCACTACTAAACAACCTGATCAACTCTATGCGAAGGAGATACTGACTGGTTTTCGGACCCCCGCAATACAGTAAAACTGCACATTTTAGAGTGGCCTTTTATTGTGGCCAGCCTAAGGCACACCTATGCAATAATCATGCTGTCTAATCAGCATCTTGATATGCCACACCTGTGAGGTGGATGGATTATCTCAGCAAAGGAGATGTGCTCACTAACACAGATTTGTGAACAATATTTTAAGAGAAATAGGCCTTAGATCTTTGAGTTCAGCTCATGAAAAATGGGGGCAAAAACAAGTGTTGCGTTTATAATTTTGTTCAGTGTATTTTGAGGTTTGACCACTTGCACATTTGGTTATTGTTATCAAGGCATGATCAAGATCCTGAGGTTGGGTCGAAATGTTGCCGGTTCCACACAGGTGGAATAAATCTCTTGGACATCTACGTTTGTGTTGCAGCACCTTATTGCTTTTTAATACTGTACTGCCCAGCATGTCTCGTTCACATAAATTGTACTTTGCTGTGAGGCTTATTCAACCACCATAAGCTCTGGAGAGGTTTATTTGCCAAAATAGGAATTGTGACACGCAGTCTCTTTCCCCCCCACCTCCATTGTAAACTCAAACTGTTCTTTACCCACAATATTTAGAACTCCTAGTTAATTTGCAAGGGATTGTCATTGCCCTTTCCATGTGGTTACCAGATAATACAGACCTTTTAAATGGACACCAGAGTCACCAAAACAACTTTAGCTTAATGAAGCAGTTTTGGTGTATAGATTATGTCCCTGCAGTCTCACTGCTCAATTCTCTGCTATTTAGGAGTTAAATTGGTTTGTTTGTGCAGCCCTAGTCATATCTCCCTACATGTGACTCACACAGCCTTCATTAACGGTTCCTTTAAAGAGTCGTCTAATGTTTACACTTCCTTTTATAGCAAATTCTGTCAATAGCTTGCTCCAGGAGCCTCTTGTATGTAATTTAAAGCTCAATTTACAGTGCAGACATGAACAAGAACAAAAATGATTTAAATCCTAAATGTGAATTGAGCAGTGAGACTGCAGGGACATGTTATAAACCCAGGAACTGCTTCATTAACGAAGTTGTTTTGGTGGCTATAATTTTCCTTTAACCTGCTAGAGAGACATGACCACATCAAGCCAAGGCATTTGAGACAACCGTTCTGTATGTTACACTTTGTTCTGCAAATGTACATGAGTAACCAGTTGAATCACTTGGAGTATGTTGGTGATTCTACCCCAAAGTAGGACATAGTGGTGGGTTTGACACAATATCTCCATATGGTAGAACTGAATCCCCATATTTATTTTTGTGTGTGCGCTGTTCCTTTAACTGTATTTAAAGGACCACTATAGTGCCCTGAGGGTGCCCCCACCCTCAGGGACCCTTCAGGGACCCCCTCCCGCCAGGCTCTGGGGAGAGGAAAGGGTTAAACTTACCTCTTTCTCCAGCGCCGGGCAGGGAGCTCTCCTCCTCTTTGGCTGAATGCTCATGCGCAGCAGGAGCTGCGCGTGCATTCAGCCAGTCTCATAGGAAAGCATTTGTGACGAGACCAATCTCGCCACATTGCATTGGAGAAGCCTAGCTGCCCGTCTGCTGCCTTTGGACTATGGACCAGACTTTATGTAAATGTGTTAACCCAGATAGCTATGCCATGGAGCCCATTCGTGTAGTTAAAGACTTCGGCTCCATGGCAATTGAACTGTGTGAATAGGATCTGAGCGCTATTCGGTAGTTTTGTGCGCTCAGATCCCAGCTATCTGGGGATATGTGAAATGTCTGTGTGTTATGTGTAAAAGGTGACTTTATGTATTTTAAAGTGTTTTATGTCTTTTTGCAACCATGTGCTCAATGGAGTCTGCCTCTATCCCTGGATAATTGGATTACTTTCCCCATTGTCTCAGGATAGAGGGCTCTGTAAAACCTGGTTGAGCCAGATAGCCATGTGCCAGATAGCCATGTGCCAGCCAGGGCCCAAATAGCCATGTTACTAACATTTGGACCCCTGGTCTGATTCATGCCATTATTTAATATGTTGTTCCCCTGAATGGATTGATTGTGAATATGTAATTTTATGTGAATGTGATGTATGGTTTTAGAGTTATGAAAGTTGGGTAGAAAGTATGTTTTAACTGTATGTGTAATTGAGTTTCCTCTCAGGATAAGGGGAGGGAATATGTGGGATGTAACTGATATGTGATTGGTTGTTTTATACCTCCCTGTGGGCGGTCCTGTATTTGAAAAGACTGTAATAAAAACCAGGCTGGGTGTGCCAGCACCTCAGACCACTGCTTGACCCTCAACACGGAGCCTTGTCTCGTTCTTGGGGGGATTCACTGTATGCTGTTAGAGACTGATTGCCAGGAGTGTAAGCTGATTGTCTGCTTTTCCTGTTCGTCTGCTAGCAGCTATTTGGGAGGTTCCAGTTCTGGAGTTGGAGTGCTATTTTGTATCCTGTTCGGGAGTTTGGTGTTCTGCAGTAGCTGTGCCTGCATCTCTGGAAAGGTTGTGAGCAAAACGGTCCGTTACAGCATTCATAATGCTTTCCTATGGACGCTGGCGTCTTCTCACTGATTTTCACAGTGAGAAGCACGCAAACGCCTCTAGCGGCTGTCAATGAGGCAGCCACTAGAGGCTTTAGAGGCTGGATTAACCCATTTATAAACATAGTAGTTTCTCTGAAACTGCTATGTTTATAAAAAAAAAAAGGGGGTTAATCCTAGAGGGACATGGCACCCAGACCACTTCATTAAGCTGAAGTGGTCTGGGTGCCTATAGTGGTCCTTTAAGTTATTATATTGTCCCATAAGACCCGTTACACAATATAACGACTCCTAAAATAGATCTCTTGAAGTTGGCTACCCATATTTATTTCACAATTCTATCCAATAAATTAAATGGGAGGTAGGATTGTCCGATCCAGATTAATTTTTTTTTTTTTTTCCTGAATGTTGTTGGGCAGCACATGAAAGGTGATGCCCTTTACTGTGGCACGTTTTGTATGATGCAGGATTCCTGTTTGAAGGGTTTATTTCCCAGCTGCAGTATTTGGAGGCAATATAGCACAGGGCTGCCCTTTGATATGAATAAGTGATGCATCCCCAAAAAAACTTCTGGATTCTGGTCTGGATCCATGGATACCTATTCATTTTACAAAATGTACAGCAGGGAGCTTTTTTTTTTTTTGGTTAAAATAAACCATAGGTGCAAGTGGACAAACTTAAATACATTGAGCAGTTGCACATAAAAAATAAAATAAAGGGGGCGGGGCCGGACCTCTGAGAGGAGAGGAAGCTAAACTATACAGCTCCTGCTCTGCAGCACGGAAAAAGTACAAAACTGCCGTCAAAACGAGAATTAATCGGCTCAAAAAAGCCACCAGGAGGAAGGTGACAAAGAAGGGCACACAATGATGCCTCACAAGCGACACTTCCAGCGAAACACACCTCCTCGTCCTGCGGGGCCTACAAGCGTGTTCAGCATGAGGGAGACGGCTGCTCCCCCGCTGACACCCATGGCTGATAAACGGAGACAAGACCCCTGTTTCCCCCCCCCCCTCTGGACCGGTGGGGGTGATCCCGGTCCCCCCTGAGCAGATGCCCTGGTTTAACGGGAACCCGGGGAGTCATCTCAAGACAGAGTACGCAGCACAACAACTGGCCTAAAATGGCGGATGCCAAGCGCTCCACCAGCCTCACAGATACAGCACCCACCACCATGACTCGGCTGGAGAACATTTTCGAAGATTTCTGGCAGAAGCTTGAAAGCAGACTACCTCAGGTCACCCCACAGTGGCTAAGTGCTCACGCAATGCAAGCCACAATACCGATGGGTACATACCCACTCAGAGTGCAGTCTGTGCAACCCGGCCGGGAACCCAGGAAAACTGCATACACGGCGGTGAAGCAGGCTCCGAAATGGTGGAACTGTGCGCAGTGCCCCCCATCTGGGAGCCAGCACAAAGCAGCACGGAAGAAGGAGCCACAGAGGGGGACAAAGTTTCAAACATGCGTGGGACCCGCCACACCAAGCAGATCGCCGGCTGCGGGACAACGGTGCAGTGAAGCCTCCCAAGCTGCAGGTGTAGCCCATCACGCGACAATGGCACAACGAAGTAGGAGACCCAAGGTGAAGCGGAGGGTAGGTGACCCAATAAAGCGCAATATGAACACTATGCACCACAAACCAAGTAAGTCACTGCTGCCGCAAGCAAAGCTCAGACAGACGTCGAACACCTTTCCGGAATTCCACTTTAACCTTTCCTGCCCCCACCCCAGCGGGATGATGGGCCTGACACCGGGACTCTCATGGCAGAACTTAGTTTGGCTCCAACGGGGAATTGGCTGACCCTGCAGATGGGCAGATGACTCTCCCACCCCTGGCAGGTTGTTCCAAGGGCACCAGCAACAGACTTAGACATTTATTCAAGTGCCTATTTTTATTTTAATTATTGTTGCATTTTAGACCTCAGCTGCCTATACTATACAAGCGTTGACCTTGCAGGAGGGGGAGACAGAGTCTGGTACCAAGCGACCTCGCTACACTTGGACTCTGAGCGGCATAGGCTAAATGCCATAAGTAGTCTCACACCGGTCCCGGTGTAGCCAGGGTATCGGCCAGTTGTATTTTACCAGCATGCTACAACGTTGATTGCATTATTTTTTATTTTATTTTATTTTTAATGCCTCTGTTGAAACTACTAACCCAACTTAAGTACCCTCAGGCAAATATAATACTATCCTGTTTATATACGAAAATGTGCAGTATAAGTTTGTCATGTTCTTCACCATGCCTACATCGTATATAGCATGTTTACTTTATCGCATTGCCCGGGTGATAAGCACAGTATACAAATCTGTTACTCACTTTCATGCCCTAACTACACCCAGCATGTACCATTAATCTGTTGTATATTATTTAAAAAATGTGCAGTTACTCCACATACCATGTCAAAGTTACACAATGTTTGATGCTTGAATCACTTGCCAATACTGTTGTGGTATCGCAAATCTGTATGTAAACGCATGCACTGCAAAAATAAAGAATAAAAAAAAAAAAAAATCACATGGTTATGCCTATATTGGGAAACTCTCTGTGCCTGAAAGCTTTACCCATGTAATACAGGCTGCCGGTGTACACCTGGAGGAGAGGAGAATGGACAATCTCAAAGTTTGCAGCTACGTATCTCAAATGGAACAGGCACATTTTAGAAACCTTAATGGGCATGTAATCCCCATGCAGGAAAGGGGCCATTTCGTGTTCTCCATTGGCACATATCCTGTACCCAGATTTACAGCTGCAGTGTAATGTCTTTATACGCAGAAAACCTTTATTACAAATCATGGCAGAGATGACCACACAAGTGGGGAAACAAATACACAATAAAGTACATACTTAAAACAAACATTTTTATTGGTAGTTTGCAATACTCCAAACAAAAGCCCCCAGTTTAAAATAGGTTACCACTGGATCCAAGGGGACATTTAATTTTATATGCGCACTCTTATAGTGTTGGTGTAAACGCAACCTGTTGTGGATAGGCTGCATGTGTTTTATTAACCTCAAACAAAATGATTACAGAATTAAATTGTGTTCCCTTTTTTTTAATACTTTGTGATTATATAAAAAACAAAACTGTGATTTATTTGCATACTGGTAATCTACCACTGCACTACAGTTTGAAACCTGATATCACTGCTGAACGTGCTTTTGTAATATGTTTTCTAATCCATCTCAGGTACCGGAACATGAAAAACCCCAAAACATCTGGCCGGCAACAGGCCAAGAATCAAGCCATACCAAACAGTGATGCTGTCTTGAATTGCCCTGCCTGTATGACAACGTTGTGCTTGGACTGCCAGAGGTCAGTTACATCACCATTTGCTGCTGGTCAAAGTCAAACTGTGTTCAGAAATTAGTGACTCTTGGCACATGATTAGTAGGTTTGACTAAAGGAACACTCTAAACACCGTATTCAATACAGTGAGATGTAGTGGTTATGGTGTTTAGACTGACCCTTAAAGGGACTCTCTAGTGCCAGGAAGACAAATCGTTTTCCTGGCACTGCAGATCCCCTCTCCCTCCCACCTCCCATCCCCGGTTGCTAAAGTGGTCAAAATCCCTTCAGTGACTTACCTGAGGCAGCGCCGATGTCCCTCGGCACTGCTTCTGGGTCCACCCACACTCCTCCCCGTCATCCAGCGGGGGAGACCGATCATGCCCACTGGCGGGGGAGACCTAATGCTCATGCACGGCAATGCCGCGCACGCGCATTAGACCTCCCCATAGGAAAGCATTTTCAATGCTTTCCTATTGGGATTTTAGCGACGCTGGAGGTCCTCACATAGCGTGAGGACGCCCAGCGACGGTATAGCACAGAAAACCTGTGCTAGAATCCTGGAAGTGCCCTCTAGTGGCTGTCTAATAGACAGCCACTAGAGGAGGAGTTAACCCTGCAAGGTAATTATTGCAGTTTATGAAAATTACACTTGCAGAGTTAAGGGTAGTGGGAGTTGGCACCCAGACCACTCCAATGGGCAGAAGTGGTCTGGGTCTCTGGAGTGTCCCTTTAAAGAGTAGCACTAGTAGTCTCCACTTTTTTCAATGTCCTTGCAGTTCTCATTTACAACAGCCATTACAGATCTTTATAGCAAAGCTAGGAATTCTTGGGTGAAACTATGAATATACTTGAATTTCTTAAAAAAATAAAAAAAATCATAGGAGAGGAAAAGCACCTATTATTAAGATGATGCTGTTTCCACTAATTATGATGCGGAGTCTTTGCGTGTAAAACCACTTTCGAGCCATTTCACAAATCCATGGATTTTTCAGCCCATCAACTGCTGCTTGGGCAAAGCAGACGATGCAGACTGTAAGCAGTGGCTGCAGATTAGCCCGATGCCAAGTCTATCATTGTCAGCCGAGTTTGGACAATTTCTCAATTCTTCTGTTTTATCCTAGCCTAGTGGTGCCAAGAGAGCTGTGTGTTTTGTCAAACTGCTTGAATTAAAGAGTCATCCACAGACTGTTTACACCACATTCACCCAGTGTTACTATACTTGGAGTGTACCTTTGAAATCACACTCGCTGTGATGATGCAGTTGAGCCTTGGAATATTGTCCATGATGCCTCACTAGAGGGCAGACATGACTTGAAAAATACTCAATATAAATTGGAATGGCTATTGTTTTACCTCTAGACGAGAGATCACAGTGTAATATAGGAAATAGAATGCGTTCCAGTGCAGTTTGCAGATAAACCTCTATAGCGCTGTACTATTTACCATACGTCAGTACTGGTGTTTTGTTGTATAAATCTAGATTCTAAAAAAATCTAGTTAAACAGAACAAACTACTCCAGGCTGAAAAGAGTAGAACGGATGACTTGTTTAGTGAAAACTAATTAAATTACGTGTTCTGAAGCTTTTTAAAAAAAAAAATGTTTTACGATCTTTCAGCTGTGTAGTAGATGACGCCCTAATTTGGTACCTTTTTATGTGGGATTGCTTTATTTAAGAATACCAAAAAGCCACTATCTAGTATATAGCTCCCTGTTGGGAATAAACACTTTATCTATACAATGCTTGGTTAATATCCCCCTAGAAACAGAGCTACAAACTTTTCTGTCTCAGGGCGTTGTCTTATTTCCTGTTTTTTTTACTTGTGTATTTCTAGCTACATGGAAACTTATCTATTTGTAAGCGAGCAGTAACTTCTCTATTTCTAACCGCGTAGTTAATTTGAAACCTAGCTTAGTGCAAGGTTTGACCATATATGGTAACCTGAGGATAAAGATTACTCCCCCCAGCACTCTTGCAAGTTAGCTATAGGTTAATATAGGTTAAGGTAGACTTATTATGTTATTATTGGATAATACTCATAAGACCACCTCTGTTTCCTATTCTATAAAATCATTTGTACCACCTATTAAAACTCAGAAGTCCCTTTTGAACCTTCCATTGTGGTTTTGTTCATTGGAGCTCCTCAACAGCTGGGTGGAGATAAGAAGAAATACAGAGAGTTCCAAATTGATCAACCCCTTCCCAACCTCGGACATGCAGGTTACGTCCGACAAAAAACAGCAGTTGATGACCGCAGGCGTACCCTGCACGTCCGCGACTAAAATGAACCGGGTACTCACCTGGACCGGCGAGCCCGGACTTGGGGGACTGCCAGAGATACCAGCAATCCCCCTGCTGCAGCTCCGTCCTCTCCGGCCCTCCAGGGGCATGTAATCACCATGATCACATGACCGCAATGGAAGTCTATGGAGTGCCAGCAGGGGGACTGCCTGAGCAATCAGTCAGCCCCCCAGGCACCGAACATGAAAAATCAGATATATTATAATTTAAAGAATTTTATAATGTATAATATATATTTGCATTATAAGTGTACTTTGAGATGTATACATATATATGATTACATTATAAGTGTATTTTGAGATATGTATAATATATTATAAAATTCTTTATTTTATAATCGAATATACATATATAGGAAATAAAAACGTGTGTGTGTGTGTGTGTAATATCTCACAAGTACAACAGTACCCCTCAAGTATAGTTTTTTTGTTTTGTTTTTTTTAAACTTTTTTTTTGTTTTTTTTAATTTTGCTCCGACAGAGGTGCTGCAGTACAGGGTCTCAAGCGTATGCAAACGCTAAATCACAAGTACAGGTTTTATGGTGATTTGGAAAGGTACAGGGTCAAACATAAGATTTGCCAATTTCTGTATTGATAAATTTGCTATTTACCTGATTGGCTATGTTGCCTTTGAGACGATGTGTCAGCCCAGAAATGAAAATTAACCCCACCATGACATACCATTTGAAAAAGCAGACAGCCCAGGGTTTTCAAAATGGAGTATGTCCAGTCTTTTGTAGTAGTCACTTAGTCACAAACACCGGCCAAAGTTAGCATTTATATTTGTTTGTGTGTGAAAAAAGCAAAAAACGAATATGACCGCTAACTTTGGCCAGTGTTTGTGACTAAGTGGCTACTAGAAAAACACTGGACATACCCTATTTGCAATACCTTGGGTTGTCTACTCTTGCAAATGGTATGCCATCATGGCAGGAAATTTTATTCCTGGGCTACCATACGGTTTCAAAGGTAACATTATCAATTTGGCAAATTTCAATGAAAATTATGAAATGGGCAAGACTTATATTTGACCCTGTAACTTTCAAAAACACTAACAAAACTGTTATACTCTGGAGACTTCGCTGAACACAAATGAGTGTTTCAAAACAGTAAAACGTATCACAACAATGATATCATCAGTAAAAGTGCCATTTGTGTGTGAAAAATGCAAAAAACTTCACTTTCACCGACTATCATCACTGTGATAAGTATTCTTGGTTTTGAAAAAACTAATATTTGTGTTCAGCAAAGTCTCCCGAGCATAAAACCTGTACATGAGGGGAACTTTTTTGTATCCTGGAAAGTTACAGGGTCAATATACGGCTTGCCCATTTCAGTTTGCCAGATTGGCCTTTTGAGACCATATGGTAGCCCATGAATGTGAATTAACCCCATCATGGCATACCATTTGCAAATGTAGACATCCCAGTGTATTCAAAATGGGGTATGTCCAGTCTTTTGTAGTAGTCACTTAGTCACGAATGCTGGCCAAAAGTTAGAATTATTTTTTTTTTTAAAAAAAACAAAACTGCGCTTTCACCGACAATATCATTTTTGTGATATGTTTTACTGTTTTGAAACATTCATGTGTTCAGCAAAGTCTCCAGAGTGCAACCGTACTCTCCCCCCCTCCCATGTACTGGTTTTATAATGATTTTGAAAGTTACAGTGTCAAATATAAGGCTTGCCCATTTCATTTTTTTTTTCATTGAAATTTGCCAAATTGGTTATGTTGCATTTGAGACCGTATGGTAGCCCAGGAAAAAGAATTACCCACATCATGGCATACCATTTGAAAAAGTAGACAACTCAAGGTATTGCAAATGGGGTATGTCCTACTAAAAAAGAGTGGACATATCTCATTTTGAATACCGTGGGTTGTCTTCTTTAATAAACTATATGATTTGATGGGGGTTAATTACATTGGCCAGCTTTAAAAATGGGTGCATGATGATCAGCTGTGCAAATTCCAAGTTTGGAAAACAAATAACATCTTTTAACCCCTAGAGAACCTATAGAACACCTATAAATGGGTGGTATCACTGTATTCGGGAAATGTCGCTGAACACATATTGGGTTGTTCTTTGGCAGTAACCCTTAAAGTTCTCAGTACATGTATTCTTAAATTGCTATGTGTGTCAAAAAAATTACCAATTATTATTTAATTTGGCATAGATTGGTGGTAAAATGGCTGCATGAAAAGAGTCAAAATACCCCAAGTTTAATACCTTAGGTTGTCTTCTTTTAAAAATATACATGTGAAAATATATACATGTAGAGAGATTCCTGACCGATATCAGTGTTACAATGTAAAAAATGGTTTGGAAATAGCAAAGTGCCACTTGTACTTATTGCCCTATAACTTTCCAAAAAAAGCTAAGAACATGTTAACCCCTTAAGGACACAACTTCTGGAATAGAAGGGAATAATGACGGAATATTTCCGTCTTTTGTCCTTAAGGGGTTAACAATGGGCATCTCTAATTTCAGGACAAAATTTAGAAACTATTTAGCACGTGTGAATTTTGGCAGTTGTAGATGCGTTACAGATTTTGGGGGTCAAAGTTAGAAAAAGTGTGTTTTTGTTTTAAATTTCATATTTTATAAAAAAATTTTTAATTATATGACATGATGAAAATAATGGTATCTTTAGAAAGACCATTTAATGGCGAGACTAACGGTGTATATAATATGTGTAGGTACAGTAAATGCGTAAGAGGAAAATAACAGCATCACTGTTTAACCCAAGAAATGTAAAAAGAGCCCTGGTCCATAAAGGACCACTATAGGCACCCAGACCACTTCAGCTTAATGAAGTGGTCTGGGTGCCAGGTCCAGCTAGGATTAACCCATTCTTCTCTAAACATAGCAGTTTTCAGAGAAACTGCTATGTTTATAATAGGGTTAATCCAGCCTCTAGTGGCTTTCTCATTGACAGCCGCTAGAGGCGCTTCCGTGCTTCTCACTGTGATTTTCACAGTGAGAAGACGCCAGCGTCCATAGGAAAGCATTCTCAGACTGGCTGAATGCGCGTGCGGCTTATGCCACGCATGCGCATTCTGCCAATGACGAGGAGGAGGAGTCCCCTGCCCGGCTCTGGAAAAAGAGGTAAATTTTAACCCCTTCCACCCCCTAGAGCCCAGCCGGAGGGGGAACCTGAGGGTGGGTGGGAACAAGTGTTTTCCTGGCACTATAGTGGTCCTTTAACGGTAAGAAAATTGAAAAGAGGTCTGGTCACTAAAGGGTTAAAGTCCACGGCATGAGCAAGTATTCCTACTGATCCAGAGAATCTTCACTCCCTTTTATTTTAAATTTAAGTATTGCAATCCCACCTAAGGTTATTAAATATTGGAGCTATCTAGTAACATGTAACTTTATTAGTGTGTTGTTTTTTTGTTTAAACCAAATTTATTGGATGTAATTCATCTTGACCAATTATTTTTTTTTTTCTCTTCATTGCAGTACATAAATCTAGCTCAGAATAACTTGACAAATGTTATTTTTTTCCCCCACTTCGAGCTTGTTAGCAGTTTAATTCTCAATGTAATCCATTTCTTTCTAGGCACGAGTCCTACAGAACCCAGTACAGAGCCATGTTTGTTATGAATTGCTCTGTTAGCAAGGATGAAGTTCTCAAATTCCCAGATCAACCCTTGAAAAAGCACAGACGACATGACCGCAAGAAGGTGAAATGTCCTGCAACGGCTACAGATAGACAAACCAAGTCAGATGAAATGTATCATCCGGTAAAATGTACCGAGTGTTCCACAGAAGTGGCCGTTTATGATAAAGAGGAAGTGTATCATTTCTTCAATGTCATTGCTAGCCATTGTTAGGGAGTGAAACTTCTGCCAATACCGGGTAAGTGGCTGGTTAAGGTTCAAGGATTGGACATATTAATGTTTGAGTAGCTGGATTTCCATCATAACCTGTATCTATAGGTAGAAATGTAGTGACACAGCTGTATAATCTGTAGCTGCCTGTACAAACTTGTTTTATTTCACTTGAAATTAGATTTTTAGTTTTTGTTGTGTTTTTTTTTATCCTTTCTGCCCCAATATATAATATTTACAATTTTTAAGTCCTTCTCATTGCACAAAAACTAATCCTAACCCCCAAAAAAAAAACGTTTTCCAGTTCTGGTCTTCCAGAGGAATGCGGTAACGGGAGCCAGAACACAAGTGATGTCAAGGCTGCTTTGGGTGCAGCCGAATCTCTTTGGAAAACCCTCAAAGATTAAAAATGTGCAAAAAACAAAAAAATTAACCCCAGAATATGTAACCGACACAACCCAACCCCCATGTATAGAGCTGAGCTAGAAAAGGACCCACATCTTAAGCTCTTAAAATATGAGGAATGCTATTCATTTGTTTCTCAGCTTCATTCTGCAATTTCTCTGATACTTCCTCCATTTTACCAACACAAGCCAAGATGGTCTGATTCCTGCTCAGCTCATAGGGTGTACCAACTGCAGGCCTATGGCATCATCCTCGCCCAAGTACAGCACGCCTGCCACTTCTGTTAGCTCAGGGGAGCTAATGGAAAGAGGGAAAACAACCTCCCTGTCTGTCTGATGGCCATGGAAGTACTTCATATTTTAATTATAAAAATACTGAATTCCCATAGAAAGCGGTGCTTTTATAAACTGTAATTAAATTGTGATACTACTCTCCCAGCTTGCTGTAGTGCATTTTGGATGAGGAGTGGTCCTTTTCGTTAAACATGTCTGATCTTTCCCCCCACAGCTTATCATACTTTGTTGAAGAAAGCAATGTAAAAATGCTATGTGAATAATCCATTTGTACATTATAAATTCTTGTGTATATAAGCCATAAAAACAAATGTTAAAGCAGTCATGTTACCGATTTGGTTTGTGTTTTTGTTTTTCCTTCCTCCTGTCTTGTTTTTAACATGCACCCTTATTCACGGAATAAGAATTTGCAAGGCCATCATACCTTCTAAGCTTAACTAGCTACAATGGAAAAGCGATCAAACTCCACTATTTTATTTGTCTGTTTATTTTTTACAGTTCTGTTTGTACAGTTTTAAGTTGGTGAATAACCCACATGGATTACATGAAAGTAATCTGACATTATATGGATTTCAGAGTTTTTTTTAATTTATCACTAAAGGAGACTGAGGCAGCGCTGTTGTTGATGACTATGAATTGTCAGGATAAATGTCTATGTATTCTCATGCATGTCTGAAATGTCTGCATGTCACCAGTTAGGTGGCTAATTCCCTAAACCAGGAAACTGCAGCCAAAATAACTGGAACATTAGATTTGGAAAAAGAAATATTTTTCTCCCAATTCAGACTCCCCATTTGGCCTTATTTAATTCCCCTGTCAGTTCTTGGTTTAGTCAATAAGCCGGCATAGTTTTCCTTTAAAAATAAATGAATACATTCCGCTATTTTCAAATGTGCTTAAAGCAACATAACCACAACAGATTATTGTAATGGTACCATAATCCTTCTAGATTATATGCCAAACCGTAAAACACTCTGGCTTTACCTACCACACAGTTTCTAATTGCAGTGGTTGGCAATGCCTGTTTTTGTCAAACTCCAAAAAACTTTGACAAAACACTGGGGTTTTGAGATGGTTTCTGTAAGATAATGCAGAGGTATAAAGGTTATGGTGCGTAGAGTGTCCCTTTTAATCTTTGGCAACACGATTCCACCGTTCTTTCCCACTGAAGTCTGGCCGGTGCTTATACGGCTGAGGGCAGTCCCCTTCATTTGCAAGAGCCCTGCTCGGGATGAGGGTGTGGGTACAGCTCTGTGCCAAACTAGATACATATATTTACAAACTATATATACATGTATATATTTAAAAAATATACTGTCCTGTATGATGCATGTAAATCTTTTAGTGTGCTCAATTTGGTGTAGGTGTTTGCAGCATTTAAGTCTCATCTACCCCCTATTATAAAATAATTCATTCTTGCTAGTTACCGTACTGCCGTAATATTACCGCAGCTCTGAAACACAAGGTGGCATTCATACACCTAACTAATTAGGAAGTATAAACGTCATTCTCCCACACTTTCTGCAGGCAATGTTAATGGGACACTTAGGTGCTATGTAAGCGTACAGTTATTTAGGATGGATTTGACTTTTTTTTTAATCTTTATGAACTGAATTAAAACTCACTGAAACTCCTAATGTAAACCAAGTTCTGCTGTATAGGGATTTAAAAAGATACTCTAAGCACCATAACCAGTACAGCACACTGTAGTGGTTATGGTGCCAGGAGTCCACTATCTTACTAGACACATGTCACCTCCTCATGATTATGGGATAATCCATGCTGCCTAGTAGTATATAGAATGCATGTGTTGCAGGTATAAATTCTTTAATTATGGCAGTGTGTTCCCTCCTGAAGCAGATTCATTCTACATACTGCAGAGCAGTGCTGCCCCTGTACTGCCAAATATTATGAAAAAAATATATGTCTAGGAAAACATGGTGAATCTGCCTCCCCCCTGTACTGTGTTAAATGTATTTGGTTTTTGGAGCACAAGTGATTGTTTTTAATTGTATTCTAATTGAAATTTCGGAACAAAATTTAAGCTCAGGAGCACTAATTAATTCAGACAAGAAGCTTTGCTACTAATCAGCACCACAGTTTGAGAACAATGACTGCATCCCAAAGAATGCAGGCAGGAGACTTAACAAGAACAGATCTGCTTAATTAGATTTTAATTATTGCCAGTCTTAAACCGCCGCGTTCTGCCATCTGCATTGTGCTCGGAATGCGAGAGAGCACTTTTATTTGCTTGTTTCTGTTGTTTGGACTGACAATCACTGTAATAAACTGCTTTTCCCTAACTTTACTGCACTGATCTTCCTAATTGAGAGCCTGTGTTATGGGAAGATAGAATTGAAAATGCACTGTCTGCAATGCTTTTACACCAATGTAAAGGGGGAAGGAAACAAGAGTAGCTGTAGGATTACAGGGATAGACGTGGCTTATTGACTCATCATTCATTATAACAATGGGCAAATGGCACTCTACATAGAGTATGCTTGAATAATACAATAAGAAATACAATGCATATAGTAGCATGGGCCTACTGCTCACACATCAGCATACAATTATTTAACATTTAGAATCAATTTATTGGGCAGTATATTTTAGCTTTGGTATCTGCTATAGTGTGATCCAAGCTGGCGCTCCTATTAAAATCGGTTTAAAATGTATTTATTTTGTGTGTAGATATCTTTCCATAAAACAGCAACACATAACTTCATATTCTATTAGACTTGTGCAAAAATGCATTTTTGCTAATCCGAACTAATACAAATTCTTTTTAATCTACAAAGTGAATCATCTGTCCATGATTTACCTGTGGAGTCCTATTCGATTGATTAAGACTCAACAGTTAAATTCCAGATGGATCGATTCGTCCGTGCGTAGATTGAAAGGAAATTGATTTGTTAATACCACCTAGAACAGATCTGTGCACATGTCTAGATTCTGTTATAAAACCGTAATCTTTTATTGCAGGTGTGATTTTTATTTTCCCCTCTACTTCACCCTTTTTCTTGTAACCCCTTAAGGACACATGACTCCCTTTTATTCCAGAAGTTTGGTCCTTAAGAAGTTAAGTTACTTCATGATGTGTAGCTAATGCTCTGTTGCCAACGCAGGTAGAAGGTAGATCCCCCAACTATATTGTAAAACTATTTTTCCCATGATGGTTTGTCAGGCTTAAGGCTGACCGTATCATGGGAGTTGGGTTTCTGCGTCAGCTGGGGATCTGTCTTTTGGCCGTCCCTGCTTTCTGGTATATTTGATAATTTACTTTAGAATTTATCTCCTGCTCTGTTAGTAGCCTGTTAAATCCTCCTGCATATAATTTTAAGTACAACTGACAAAGCAGAAGAAAAAAATACTTCTAAACATAAACACAGAAGATCAGATTGAAAATTTAAACCAAAATAAAATAAATTATGCAAGTTGTGTTGTCATAGCTGCATACACAAAATGATTTAACCCTTAAATTTCATTGAATTGATCAGTGAGACTGCAGAGGCACGGCCTAAAAATAAAACTGCTTCATTAAACTAAAATTGTTTTGGTGCTTAAAGTATCACTCTAAATGGACATTATAGGAGCCAGGTGCATTAAAGCCCAATGTACTGGTTCTGGCGCCTATAGAGCAATGGTCCCCAACCCAGTCGTCCTGGACCACCAACAGTCCAGGTTTTATCAGTATCTCCATATGAATAAAAAAAAAAAAAGGAAATCCTTAAAAACTGGACCTTTGGTGGTCCACGAGGACTGGGTTGGGGACCACTGCTATAGAGGACTGTTCCTGCAGTCACTGCCTTTTATGAGAGAAAGCATTGTTTACATTGCTGCGGATGACTGACAGCCACTAGAGGTCCTTCCTGGCTGTTTAACAAAAATTTCAGGAATGCATCTCCACGCTCTGCATGGAGATGGCAAACTGTCTCCACAGAGATTAATTCAGTCAACGCATCTCTATAAGGATACGCTGATTGGCGCAGAATGGCAATTGCCGCACATGCTTACTAGCCCTCAATGATTTCCTGTGGGAAAGCATTGGATTGGCTGAGATCAGCCGTATTTATTATTTTAACTAGTGGAGGAGAGGGGCCAGCGGTGGGACTGGTGTTCCCGAAGGAATAAAGGTATTCATTGGGCCGCGGGGCTCTTTATCTAAAAAGAGGAGAAAACACTACTGCTGGAATGACGTCCGTATGAATCGCAATAAATTCAAAACCAATTTTACATTTTAGGCCAAAATAGTGAAATTAAAATAAAAAATACAAATTTTGTAAGTTAGATTTTCAATTTAGCTAATTTGACCTAATTTTGCATTTATTATTGATCTTGTAATTTTAAATGAACAATTTTAGTCCTAGATTGATACACCTGTCTAGTAACAATGTTATGCAACAGTGCTAGGTACAGATTGTTAGAAGAATTCTAAGGAAATAAGGTATAAAATCTATACAATGTATTCAACTGAAACGGTAAGAGAGCGAATTGATGATTTAATGTATAAATTTGGCATCTTATGTATGAAATTCACTTTGAATTCTTGACAAATCACTTTACTGAATAACAGTGTTGATACCACAAGACAGAGATTCAATTTCTAAACCAGCCGAGAGTAATTTAAGGCATTTCAACAGTGTCAGGTAAGTGGTGACATATTCCATTTAAACATGAATGTTTACAAATAAAACACCCAATACTCCAATATATATATTAGCACTTCCATACAAATGAATGTACAGGGGATAAACTGAGACTAATAGATTATGTAAAGCTTTAGTAATGTGCAAAGAGACGTGTTCATTTAGGGCAGCATAGGCACCCTTCGGCACTCCAGATGTTTTGGACTAACCCTCCCATGATGCTTTGCAAAATATGGTGAAAATGACTGAATTTTTTAACCAGAATGACATTTCTCATATTTACTAAAGCCAAATCCAGTCGGAATTAGGCAAACCTGAACTAGTCTCGTCCTCTCCAGCTCAAGTCATTTCAATTGCGTGAACAATGTTTGGATTTTGCATTCTGAATAGCCCATTCGCTTGGCGTGTACTGAAAAAGATTTCTGTTGTTCTGCTATAGAAAACTATGAAATTCCTCCTCAATAATTTTATTTTTAAATTTAACTTGTTATTATGGGTTAACGTTAACTCACAGATTTATTTGTAGTAGGAGGTGTAGACGTCATATACCCCTCAATACATTAACTATTCTGTGCTAGATGATACTTATATTGTTCTGTGATGTTGTACACCTGTCCGGAAACAGGTGTGCAGCCTCATAGCACAGAACAGTTAGACAGGTGACAGGTGTGCAGCATCATGCAAAACAGAATAGTAACTGTCTCGTGTCCTGTAATGTGGTATACTGTTTGACTGAAACCGCACTAGCAGAGTAGTGAAAAATATCTGCACAGAGGAAGAGACAAACCACATACCACACTAATAATGATATTGCACACCTGTCACCTGGCAATAACTATGCTGTCCACCTCACAGGTAACAGGTGTGCAACAGCATACAGCACAGAATAGTTACAGACAAGTGTGCAGCATCATACAGGACAGTAACTTATGTACTGCAGGATGCTGCACACCTGTCAGTAAGTATTCTGTGCTGCACACTTGTTACCTGACAAACTGTTCTGTGCTGTATGATGCTGCACACCTGTTACCTGACAGAAACTATTCGGTGCTGTAACAGGTGTGCAGCATCATACAGCACAGTATAGTTACTGTCAGGTAACAGGTGTGCAGCATCATACAGCACAGAATAGTTACTGTCCTGTTTGATGCTGCACACCTGTTACAGCACAGAATAGTTTGTGTCAGGTAACAGGTGTGCAGCATCATACAGCACAGTATAGTTACTGTCAGGTGACAGGTGTGCATCATCATACAGGACAGAATAGTTTGTCAGGTAACAAGTGTGCAGCACAGAATACTTACTGACAGGTGTGCAGCATCCTACAGTACATAAGTTACTGTCCTGTATGATGCTGCACACCTGTCAGTAACTATACTGTGCTGTATGATGCTGCACACCTGTTCCCTTTCAGTAATTATTCTGTGCTGCAACCGGTGTGCAGCTTCATACAGCACAGAATAGTTACTCAGGTAACAGGTGTGAAGCATCATACAGCACAGAATAGTTACTGTCTTGTATGATGCTGCACACCTGTCAGTAACTATTCTGTGCTGTATGATGCTGCACACCTGTTACAGCACAGAATAGTTACTGACAGGTAACAGGTGTGTAGCATCATACTGCACTGAATACTTACTGACAGGTGTGCAGCATCATACAGGACAGTATAGTTTGTCAGGTAACAAGTGTGCAGCACAGAATACTTACTGACAGGTGTGCAGCCTCCTACAGTACATAAGTTACTGTCCTGTATGATGCTGCACACCTGTCAGTAACTATTCTGTGCTGTAAGAGGTGTGCAGCATAATACAGCACAGAATAGTTAGGTGTGCATCACACAGTAACTATTCTGTGCTGTATGATGCTTCACACCTTTCAGTAAGAATTCTGTGC